CTGAAAAATTATAAAATATATTTTATATTTATATATATATATATATATATATATTTTTTTTTTTTTTTTTTTTTTTTTTTTTGGCAATATACAGCTACGTTGTGCACACAGCTGTCAAAAGATAAACTTACATATAATACATTTTATAATGATAATAGTATTATCTAAGACCAACGCATAAAACCGAAAACGAATTTACTTAGCTTTCAAAAAGACTAGAAATAAATGTAGCATGTTTATAATAATAATAATAATAATAATAATAATAATAATAATAATAATAAACAGCGTGATATCTGCAGCGTTTCCTAAATGATATCATCGATGTTCAGCATGGCTTCAAGTAGAATCGACAATATGTTTATCTGACATGTAAGCACTAAAAAGTCCGTCGTCGCCGATCGCTATTCTAATTAAGTGCTTATATTTATTTTTTATAATGATAATTTCTCTGAATAACGATATGTTGAATGTAGTCTCTCGTAATTTAGCATGGCATTTCCATACGCTCTTGGAGATCCTTTCAGGTAAAAGGCGGCAGTTTGATTGTATGCCTCCACATGATACGACCACCGTTATATCATAATTTGAAACAAACCTCTACACTACAGTGTAGCCTTGCCGTATAAGTAAGTTAAAACGGCAAGGCTATGCTATAGTGTAGAGTTTGTTTCAAGTTATCTCTGAAGCTCAGGGTGAATACTACCGGATACTGCAATCAACAAAGTGTGTCACTTGAATTTACATTGAGTCTGTTATATTTTCTTTTCAGAACCTTATGCATCCACATAATACTGCTATTTACAAAGTATGTAATTTGAATTAACATTGAGTCTGTTCTTTTATCTTTTCAGACGCCTTATGCCCCTCGTGCTACATTCCAAAACTCTTGTTCAAAATCATATTCTGGCTGGGCTACTGTAACAGTCTTATGAACCCTATCATATATGCTTTCTCTAGCAGAGACTTTAGGGAGGCTTTCAGACGAATATTACACTGTCACTTTCAACGCAAACGAAGCTTCATTCGATACTCGGACGTCGATGTTTCCTCTCCTCAATACAAACACAAATTCAGGCACGACCGACGGAAAGCTTTCAGAAATGGCGATCAGACTACAGGTAAATCCTGTGCCAGTGCGGCTTCAGCTTTGAATGGAAGTGGCAAGTTTGCCTCTTCTGATCGTCGATCTCATAACAGAACGAGACTTTCAAGTATCTCAAGCACGGATTCTCATATCACATCGTCAGAGATGCTTCATATGTTAGCAGTAGAACACAATGAATTGAACAGCATGGTGTCAGGCGAAAGAAAAACGACTGGAAATGAATCCTTAGATCATGCAGTGAAACCCAAACAGCAACACCAAAATAGTAACGGCGCTGCTCACAATCCTCATCCTACGATGGACGTCGTTACTGTTGTATAATATGAATGTCAGCTTCATGCCAGGCATGAGAAGTGTAAAGTTTTGTGTCCCTTTTGTGACCACGCGATACATGTACCAGAATATATAAAAATATGTGTCAAAAGTTGGGTAAAGTTAGGCCAAGTTGAAAGGCCTTTTTAGGCCTTTTTGTTAAGACATAAGACTAGATGTCAACCAGTACTTTATTGCTTAGACTAAGAAGTATAAAACTAATGATGATGCATCACAGTGACCACATTTCAGCTTTTTGTCGTGGACAGGCCATGGTTTAAAGTGTACAGTATTATTGTGAAGTACATGTAGAACGTTGCAATTTATATTTTTAAGGGCAATGCAGCAGTACCTTCATTGGATATCGAGCGATTATAATTTGTCCTCGATCGTGAGGATATTCAGAATATAAGGATAAAATTGGAGTGGCTTAGCTGCACTCTATACGCTCTTCGTCTGTTTAAGTAATACTTGTCCTGAATTTTCTTGGAAGTTAAGTTTCCTTTTAACAGCTAGACGCCATATTTGGCTTTATAGAACGCTCCATTCCCTTTACTTTTTTCTGTCTTAAATATGAACAGTTGTTTCGTCAGGCGTTTACCTTGATTTAAAAGCTATACACAACGCCAATAAATCATGACATTTATCAAAACTGCTCTGAAGAAAGGCATATCTTGGACATAAGAGTTACTTGTGTTACATGTGAGTAATGTACTAGGATATCTAGTTTGACCATTAATGTGCAAAGTCGAACGTGATATATATGCATCGTTTTATAGAAAAAATAAAACATCTTTGTAACATCAGTGCCTGTATTTTACTAAGTTTAATGATCGATTGAGTGTTTGAAAAAAGTTAATCAAGAAGTTATATGGAAGTTTGGATATATTCTACCGTGAGATGTGTATAAGCCAGATTCTCTATATCGTGTGGTACATTTAACTGGACCGGTCCACTATGAGAGATCCTAAAACCTTAACACGCTGCAGGGGGTTTAATCTTTTTTACCAGTTCTCCACAAATTTAGTTGAGTTAATTAATATTGAAAATGTCGAGCTCAGGCCACCGTTTTGTGACTCGTAGGCCTATACGTAATAGCCATCCTATAGGATTGTCCGTTTTCTCAAAGTGAAGTGAACCAGTTTGATGTACCGCTCACTGTAAACATGTTCTAAGATATTAATTGTCGGACGTAATGGAACAGTCGAGCTGTTGAAAGTGAACATCAACCATTATGAGCTGGAACTGTCGAAAAGAATTATCAAAACAGCGGACTAAAAACGGTATCCCACAGCATTTTTATTCCGAAGATTCGTAGGTCCAAAATTTTTGAAGGCATTTTCATGAAAATGAATTATTGTTCCGAAGACTCGGTGTTCCCAAGTATTTTCTTTACTCCGGCTGTTAAAGTGAATCGTAGCGTGGGAACCAGAGGTAGGGGGAGCGAGGGGGATGCCCTCCACTTTTTTCAACCCCGCGCAGAAAAAAAGGGGTCGATCTTAGGGGACCCACTCACCCACAACATGTATTCCCGATCGCTGGTTCCGAATGCGTTAACCCATAAAACTCCCGACGGTACTACCAATACATGCTGACTGCATGTATTGGTAGTACCCATTAAGCTCTACCATTATCCATGGGAATCTATCTACACATGCGACCCCCCCCCCCTCCCCTCCACAACCGAAAATATCGCTGGGTGACAGTGTATTACCTATCTAACACAAAAAATCGAGATTAACATAGCTGTGACAGGTAAAATATGCAGTATGTTTAACCTTGCTACTTATCTTTCTGCTAACTTATTTTTTAATATTAAGTCGAATCTTGGGGGGAAATCTGACTTGGCCCTTTATAAACCTGCGACTGGAACGCATATGTGTTTATGTCGTAAAATGTACTTAAGACTGTCGTGAACGAGTACCTATTTCCACTGGAAATGTTTATTGCTTTCGTTTTCGTCGTGTTACTTGACGTCGTGGTTGAATTTGACCAAAAGCACGATCGAACCGAGGTCACTTAACAGTTAAAGATAGCTTTTAAAGAAAGTATACAGGTAGGTATTTATTACCGAAGTCACTACCAGAGTATCAAGAAGATGGGGTGGTTTGGTGGTGGGGAGTTATTTTCACACCCCCTACTCAACTTACTTCTATGGTTAGTTCGCACCATAAAGGATATTATTAAAGCGCATGGCTATGTCTAAGGTTACATCAGCTATACGGCTACTGCTACTATTTTCACTTGGACCGTATCTTAGCTTTCATAAAAGTTATGTTTTATGATATTCATTAACATATCATTAGTTAAACCCCCTTTACACTGGACGGCGTTCTTTCTGCGTCCTTTGTGCGACCATGAAACTGGCCAGGACGCCGTCGGACGCTCAAAGAACGCACAGTGATCGCCAAGGTCGCACAAAGAACGTTCAAGCATCGCCGAGGACGCCATGGACGCCGCGAAGTTTTGAGCATGTTCAAAACAATCGCAGAGAGAACGCGATGGAGGAGGGTCGCTCAATGGACGCAGAAAGGACGCACAAGCATCGCCGCGGTCGCAGAGAGGACGCACAAGCACCGCCGCGGTCGCAGAGAGGACGCACAAGCATCGCCGCGGTCGCAGAGAGGACGCACAAGCATCGCCGCGGTCGTAGAAAGGAGGCACAAGCATCGCTTTGGTTGCAGAATGAAAACGCAAAGATCGTCCAGTGTTCGGCACGTAGAACATTTTTTTCACTCTCAAACGGGGCCGTGCTGAAGTATTTTTCACCAGACAGGAATTCTAAGGGCAACAGTGGTCTCATATCAGCCTCCGATTGTTTTTTCCCCTAAAATTCATGAAATGATCCTTTTTTTAAGGTTATTATTAAAACGAATATTTTGCCTTTTTACAAGATGCATTAATTGCCAGAACCTTTTGCAGAATGCGTCTTTTGAAAACGGATTCAAATAATCTATGCTGTGTCAGTCACACTTTTTCGTTTTCGGCGCCTGTCCATCCTTCTTATAAGGATAACAATGAGCATCTGGCTGATTATCAGTCCATGCAGACCTTGCATCACTATAGTTTTAAGCGTTTATTCCCATTTATTTGTTTTGTGTGCTGGAAATGTTCTTTATTGGATAATCTGGTTAGAACCGATGAAAAAATATGAGTTAGAATATAGAGGACGCCCAAACAACGCTCATCGGTCAAACAGGATGCAAAATGATCGTAGAATAGACGCCACTGATCGCCGATGAAGGTACAGAGAACACAGCAAGAATGCTTTTATGGTCGCTCTAACATCGCAATGGACGCCTTGGTTTGCACAGGGGACGTACAGTGGAGGCAGGCAGGTTGCTCGCAGTTTTACAGGTAAAATCAAGATTCGGTCGTTCAAAGGACGCACAAGGGACGCAGACGCCTTTACACTGAGACACGATTTAACTGCTTTGGCGATCGTTGAGCGTCCTGACCACATTTTTGAACGCAGAAGGGACGCAGAAAGGACGCCGTCCAGTGTAAAGGGGCCCTTACTTGTTTTGGTAGATAAACAACGGTTGTTAGGATACACGTCCCTTTTTGTGGTGATCGGTATCAGAGACGGCAGTTCAAATCCTGAAATTATGAAGGCTTTATTTCAGTCCAGTGACTCTTTATACAGGATCCTACAGTGTATGTCCTCCAAACGTTTAATAGTCTCAATTATAAGCACTCACAATTCTGATTTTCAGGGGAATGGGGAATATAGAGTCGGAACCAATTTACAGCAGAAATGATTTTGAACTGGTTATACGAACCAGCAAAGAATTGGAATTTATTCTAAAAGAACAGTTTAATGCAACAGGAAATGGGCTAGGTGGTGCCTTTTTGTCAATTGATGTATGAAATGTATGGTACATATTTACAAAACTAGATAAACACAAATGAAAAGAATAAGAATAAACTTGAAATTTAAGATCAGCTAAAGTAATGCAATTATATGTATCATGGCATTGTTCAACTAACAAAGGATTTTTTTGTGCAGGTGATCTCATAGAGAGTGCTTGTACTCATGCAGCCAGGCCACTGCCATTGCCGTTAAAGAATAAAATGCATCGCTTGAAGCGTGAGAGGAACAAGCTTATTCACGATATCAACTACAACAACATTCAAAATAGAGAAAGTTTCATCAGTGATTTTGAGTCTGCTCGTCGGGAACTTAAGAATTTGTTGCCTAGAAGCTACAGCAATGAACCTAGTGGTTGTGGGGTTCAATAAATTATTTAGTCCAAATTATGAAAAAAGTTTTCCCCCCAATTTTGAACTACTGTCCTGACACAAACATAGGAAGGCTTATCAAAGATCTCTGTAGTTTGAGATATCTAGTGAAATGGTAATATTTCAATTTAAAAAGAGGAAAGGATCATTTAAGCACTACAATTGTATCTGTCAGAGAGAGAGAGAGAGAGAGAGAGAGAGAGAGAGAGAGATCAGTTTGAATGCTGAGTATCAAGAAAATTAATGATTTTTAGAAATGTATGTGATTGGGAAGTATTTGTACCTGTGATCAAGATGTCAGCTGTATGTCAATTTTAATAAAACCATAAATCATTGCAGTTTTGTAATGTATATTTTCCATAACATTTGTGCATGATAGAATAAAATGAATATTTAAAAAATATGTCTAAATACACCAATGCTATAGAAGTTCTATTCTCTGGTTGTGATAAACTGTTGAAAAATTGACAATTTCAAATTTAGTATATATACTCTACCAGAATAATTAACGAAATGCACAATCAGACAGCAACAAGTGGTTTCACATACAGGATAAATATCATTGACAAAAATGGCAGTGTTGAAAGTAAGTTGGGATGTCTTTAAAATGATATGTACTATTTATAGTAACATTAAATTTGCCAACTATTAATAGACCATTCACTTTTAGAAACACTGTCAGTAACAGTAAATTTAAAAATAGTCTTGTAAAATTTAAGAAAAAAATTATATTTTTACGTCTTCTTTCCTGGCCATTTGAAGTTCTTAAAAGCCGTAACTGTCTGTGAATGTAAATGAAAGTCCAACTAAAGTGAACAGGACATCAGTTTAACCCAATGGTTCAGTCTCCCTCATCATCCACTCGTATGCCTCTTGCTTATCTTGGTCCTTCAGCTCTTGCCCCACCACTTCCCGGCATAACAGGTGGTATGCATTTAGCCAGTCAATCTGCGAATATGAAGAAACATTGTGAATACAACGTGTTTTTAATGACACACAACATAAAAAATTTGGTAATATTGTAATATGTAACTACTTTGATGTCACTGGTAATTCAGTTACAAATGAATTTAAAGTGTAATGACAACAAAATTTAAATAGTTAAAAAAAAACTAATGCCTTTACATTTATGCTGCATTTAAACTTCAAATCCTGATGTACAACTGAGTAAAAAGTCCCATTATGTGAGACATTCAACTCGTGCCTTTCAATTTTGTATGAGTAAACTGTTCACCTCTTTTTGTGACAGCATGGATGGCACCAACATCTTTGTTTGTATTGGAACCAGAGTCAGAGGTTCAAAAGTTAGGAATCCTTTGTTCTTGAAGTTGTGCTGATAGAATAATAAAAAGATTTATGTAACAGACATCAAAAATTCCTACAGCTGCTAGTGTGGAGTGTCAAACAATTCTAGTTCAATGTTTTGACTAATATAAAGCTGGCACTGAACCCATTCCAGAATATTTTTGGATTTCATGTAGTCTAAAAACTATGTGGCCATTCAGAATAGATGATCTGAGTACTAACTGAGGCGGGGAGACCATCGGGAATCAGTGGCATCACTTTTGAAGTAGGGACGGCCATATTTAGTCAGCAAATCAGTTAGTACTCGGATCATCTATTCTGAATGGCCCCTATGACTTAAAATATGACTCATCAGTTTGGTAAGAAAGCAGGTATGTAAAATATTTTAAATACCAGGTTTATCATCTACTTCAATTTGATTTACTTTAATTTTTTTTTTTTTTTTTTTTTTTTTGAGAAATTTGATTTGAGAAATTTCCTGAGAAAACCCCTTTTCCTAGCAAATTCAAATTGCATGTATAAAATGTATTTTGTTAGTATATAACATAGTGGGTTCTATACATTTCCAGATATTATGCTGTGTGGGACAACATGTTGGTCTAACAATCAATTCAAGCAATAACTTTTTCAGACAGTCAGATATCTATATAGTAACAGCAGATAAGCCAAAGTTTCCTTGTCAGGTTTTTCTCCCAAACTACAATAATCTGTTGACAACTGACAGGTGTTAGCAATACCTTATGGAAGTGGGAAGAAAGTGGATGGACTTTGAATTTGATTATAACTGTTAAAAGCATATTTTAAAGGCATTTTCCAGCCTTAAGCAATTTCCGTAAAGTTTCGGTCCGTGTGACAGGTATCATATAAAATCAACAACACTACAACAGACAGCAGAATTTGGTTGTACAGTGGATAACATCCTTGACTGCCAAACACGCTGCAGTGGCTACAATTCCCACTCAGTCCCATTTTTTAAAATTAAAAATAATAATAATAATTATAATAATTATTATAATATATATTAATATAAAATGATTGTTCATACTTCTTTTTGCACCTGAAGGCAGGATAGGGAGGTGGGTTTTTAATTTTATTGTTTTTTTACTGGATGTTGGTTGAAAATGCAAGTCACAAACAAATAAAAGGTCTCAATTACCATGATAAAATATTTAGCATCATTTATAAATTACACCAAATACTGTTAACTGTATTTATTGATGTAAAACACTTAAAAAATAAATATTTATTGTTTTGATATGGTGATAAGGTTTCATTGTCTAACTTCCATATTGCATTAGATGTGCCATTGTTTTGTGTAATTATGCTATGACGTCATCGCTTTATGGACCTATGTGGCATTCTCTAGAGCCCGGTTGTTCCAGAGAATTTTTGTTAAAGTCACAAAATCTTTGACTCAGGGCAAGTGTGGAAATCAGACTTTCACACAGAATATAGTATATAAAGAGATTCTATAAATCATGTATAATAATTTCTTATCATGGTTAAATAATTGATGTGACTGGTATCAGCTAGTTTATATGTATTTTTAGAATTTTCTAAGGAAAAAAACTTAGATGTTACAAATGTCAAAACTTTTAAGTTTAAAATTAGATCACTAATTAATGGTTGTCAAAACAGTAAGGGGTGTAGTTTCATCATAATAAGCACAAATATTTGAAAACTTGCCTAAGATCAAATGCATTGCTTCAGATTTAGTGTTCCATATTTAAAGTTCAATATCACTGTATACCTTTGTCTCTGCTTGCTTGACTAAAAACAAATTTTCTATCCTTATTCCAAATTGTCCATCTTCATAGTAACCAGGCTCTGAAGAAAAAAATTCAAATTGAGAGATTAATTTTTTTGGATGATAATAAAATTGATAACACCCAAGCCAAGCAGCCCCGTCATTTTTAATGTTAGTTTGTGCATGCAGTCTTATATAGTATATGCTGTATTATTATCCATCACTTTAACCTTTTAGACCATCTTTTTCTTTGTGTTGAATTTCAATAAACTTAATGTGTTGAATGTCAATAGACTTAAAGGACTATTTTAATACTTAAAAGTCCTTTTAACCAAGTCACAATGGTCCCCTTTACATACCATTGCTGAGAATCATCCCCTCCTGAAGTGGGCAGTCTGTGAAGGACTTGTAGCTGATTCCACAGGGGCCTAATGAAAGTTAATAATGCCATTAATTTGTAAAAATCTTTTTCCAAGAGAGTGACAGAACATGAATAAAGGATGGATATGTACTAAACCATTAATATTGTTTCCAAGAGTATTAACAGAGGAAAATTATCATCATCATTCCTCTTCGTCCCGTTAAGACATAAGGCCACCAGTGGAAAAGACATCCAGTATATTCTTTCCCTAAGCATCCAACTGAATCTATTACTTTCATTATGCTGATATCAGAATAAAGTTAGGTTTTCAGTGACATACCTTCATGGACATTCAGGAAAGCTCCTACTCCATGTCCTGTTCCATGAAGATAATCTTGCCCAACTTCCCATAATGCCGTCCTAGCCAGGGTGTCCAACATATGACCTGTAGGAGAATGCATGAATTAAGAGCTTTGATGTTTCAACAGTTCAAATTCATGACACTTTCCATTGTATTAGTACCTATACTATACATCACATATTTATGATAACAATGTGTATAAATATCTATGATCGAGACAAAAGCAATTGTGACCCATAAGACAACTCACGGTATGAATTTTTTAAAGTTAACCATTGAAACTCAAATCTATATACATTTAATCAAATATATCAAGATGCAACTAAAAAACAGTATGCACGGTACTTCTAAAACTGTTTTGTGAAAGTACCATACCTTTGGTTTTATTTGGAAATATCACAAGTGCTAAAGCTATATGGCCCTGAAGAACTCTAGTGAAACACTCCTGTTGGAATGCTGTTGGTTTACCAAAATGCATAGTCCTGGTGACATCAGTTGTGCCATCCCTATTGTATACAAAACATACATCATGCTGCAACCATAATATCAGGCCTACCAGAAAGACACACATATGCATACATTTGAACATCATACAATATAATTTCTAAATTTTCAGATTTTGGTTTGGTATATGATTAAGTATATGTGATTTCGAAAGGCAATCTTCTCCAAATTGATAAGCTACATATGTTGCTAGCATAACTATATTATCATTAAGATGATGGTTTTCTACCTGTACTGAGCTCCAGAGTCACAAAGGTACATTTCATCCACTGACAACTCACGAGATGTCTCTTTGGAAGGACTTTTGTTGGACAAGAAAACACAAAAGAAAAAAGAAATAGGAAAAATCAGACAGACCTAGATAAGGAGACATTTATTGCAAAAAATCTCAAGTCTGGCATACCTGTACTGTGCCCCAGAGTCGCACAGATAAATCTCATCAGTGGAGAGAGGACGGTTGGTGTCAGGGACTGGTCTGAAAATCCGGCATCATTAACAAAGATTTAGTTTATCTAATACTTTTTCGCATCCCATTTGAAAACACTTTTGAACTATTAGTCAAAATGTTTTTTTTTAATCTGCTTTAAACCACTTAAAAATCTAAAGCTTTTATAATTAGAGAAGAATGTATGTATTTACATTGTTTTTCATCAGCTCAATGCTGTACGTTCTGTCTGATTATGAAGAAGACTTCATATTATTTAGCAAATTAGTTTCACTCTGCTATCCTATTTGACAGTAAAAACTGCTCAATACCCCCACTTACCTATAGTGTATCACAGCACCGTTAGGACCTGAACTGGAAATGGTGGAAAAACTTAAACTCACATAATCTTCCTGCTGCCTAAAATAAAGAGAGTTGCAGAAAAATATGAGGCAAATAATACAAAAAAAATCTTTTTCTCTTTGATATTCAGGATTTTTTTTTTGTTTATTAGAATTTTTTCATCATTTTTTTAGGCTTTTACACTTAGTTTATGTGATATAGAACATACCTCTTAATCAATTCTAGTTTTTCAGCAGCTGACATCTCTGAAACATTGCCTTTTGGAACCTTTTAAGGGAAAGAACAGTGCAAAAAATCTTTAAAATTACTAATCTTTGACAGCTTCCTAAAGAATTTTAACCTCACTATGATCAAAAGGAATAAATAGCTAATTTTATTGTTTTAATGGCCATTCTCCAAAATGAAAATTAAAGATTATGTCTAGAAATCACAAGTATTTTGACCGTACCTTTTTCTTTGTCAACTGAAACATTTTCACTAGGCTACCTACCTCCTTCTCCAACCAAGCAAAATATTCACATAGTGTAACAGCATCTTTGACATGAGCTCGTTTCATACAATCTATCTCTGTGCTGTTCTTTTTGCTTTTCATCTCTGCTATAGGGCTCAATTCTCCATAATGATTGTTCTACGTGTATATAAAAATGTTGTAGCTCTTTAAAATAACCACTTTGAGTTGATAAAAAAAGGTTATTTACATGCAATTACTAGAAAACGTACAAAAAATATATCTATCATACAGCAGAAATCAAACTAAAAGGCTTTCGTACCACTGACTTCATAAAGTCTATATGACATTACGTTATATACCCAGCATTGTAATGCTATGTACACACACACTAAAAATTAAAACAGACAATTTGGAAGGACCTACCTGCGGAACCAAACTGACCAAGGCATAACTAGATTTATTGCTAATCTGAAAAAGATAACACCAAACTATATTTGCTTAATTATACAAGAATTTACAATTATACAATTAGCAGTCAATAGTCAATTGTTTTATCATAAGTCTATGCAGAAAACTTTAAAAAATGAGTCAATTTGAATATGTATCAATCTATATCATGGTATGATCACTCACCCACACTTTCCCTGTTATACCTTCCATTAACGCACTGATATAGTCTTTTATGGAGTCATAGGGATAAAGAGTAACTGTTATGTCACTGCCATCTCCATTCTGTTGTGCGGCATTGAGGTGATGAAGAACTGCTGCATCTAGCTTGGTTTCATCTATCCATAATCTTTAAAAATAAAACAGAGATGATGACATTCAATGTAGGTGGCCTATACACTTTAGTTCATATACTCAGTGATGTTGTCTTCAGCCTAATAAATTAATGATGTTGGTTAATTCTGGCATTCAACTGAAAGTAGCATTCCAAGCTCACCAACACAGTTCAAAGTATCTAAATCAAATATCTAAAGATCTTATCTATTTTAACATGTTGAATTAATTTCACAAGGAACAAATATTCCTCAAAACTAAATGACATCATACAGATTTACAATCAATGACATTACTACAACTATCTTTCACACATGACAGAACAAGAGAAGGTATATGCTAGCTTACCCGACCATGTCTTCCTTTACAATGGCATAGGAAAAGAACACGGGGTTGTAGGCAATATCTGATCCCCTCAAATTAAACAGCCCTGAATCATAAAAACAATATGGTGAAGTAGGTGACAGAATGTTTCCTAATATTTAGCAAATTAGTTTCACTCTGCCATCCTATTTGACGGTAAAAACTGCTCAATATCCCCCACGTACCCATAAAACCTTACTAAAACTGAGTTTCTTCTTTCAAATAATAAATCTCTATATTCTCTCCTGCTCTTTTAAAAATCAGAAACTTTGTATAAAAGAGATTAATGATTTTTAATTATTAAGCAAAATTCTACAATTTAAAAAAGTTGCAGATTACTTACAAGCAATTTCATCCAAAGCTGTAACAACCAGCATTCCAACCTTTTTCTCCTTCATTTTGGCTCTTACTTGTCTAACTTTGTCCTGCCAAGTAGAACCTAAATAGTTTTTTAACATAAGTGTTTAGGAAAAAATTGTCAATACCAAAATTACAAAATTTAACATTTTTGATACACTTACATTTAAATAAGAAAATTCTAAGCACTAGTCAGAACTATTATACCTGTGTATTTCAGAGGCTGCACAATGAGAGGGTTGTTAGGTGGAGGTGGTCGGTCATTCCATGCAATGTCCACTAAATTTTGAGCCACCGGCACCAACATATGACCATTTGATTCCAAAGTCTTAGACAACTCTTTCCATCTCTCTGAAAGTATTACTGAACAGTAGTTTGCCTATCCCTGATGTTTCTAGGCATTGAAGATATCACTTAACAATGGTAAAGCTTTATCATTCTTTTTGTTCCTTATTTTTGTGAAAATGTAAGGTTATGTGTATCTAAATATATAATTGCAAGAAATCTCTGGTACTTCGTGTAAATCTAAAATCCCATGATTTACAAAAATAAATATACAAAATAAAATATGTAATAGATTCTAACCAGCAGACAGCAGGAATGGATCAACTCCAACTTTGCCACTTGGTGGCAACACCTGCAAGCATATAGTAAAAATTTAACAGTTCAACCATATATTGCATCAAACTAAAATTACACTTTGTTTAAAAAGTATATTATTCCATCTTTAAGGGCACCAAAAAAAAAAAATAATAATAATAATAATAAATAAAATAAATAAATAAAATAAATAAATAAATAAATAAATAAATAAATAAATAAATAAATAAATAAAGTAATTAATAAGGAAATAGTAACTATTAAATGAAGTTCTCAAACCCTCCTACTTGGATTCACACAATTACTTTTCAATAAACTAATCCCAATATATGTACAAGAAACCAGGAAAATGACTAATATCCTCCATTGGTTCTCATTACCTCAAGATCAATTGGGCAACTAACATTCAAACTTACAGTTAATGCATATGAGGACAAATGGTTATTACCTTTGATAACCAATCTCCTTGAGTTGGAGTTTCAGGAAGGCCTGCAAAGACAAAAAGCAGACTCATTTAAGTTTTAACAACTTTAAAATACTTATTCATTTTGAAACTTTTAGCAAAACATAATGGTTTAGGTAGCTGTCAAACAACTTTGCTTAAATGATGTAGCTGAACATTCAAGACCAGGTAACTAACCATGCTTCATCAGAGTCCAGTTGTCATCCATTTGTCTCTCTGCCTGCAGGAAGTAGCGTCCATCCGTCCACATTGCTGCTTTATTTTGCACAATAACTGCTGATCCTACAGTGAAAACAATATGGTCTTACTGAAATCATGCAATATGCAGTGCATTGAATTTTGTTTTCTAATACCACTTTGTCAACTATTTTATCACCAGACAAAAATCTGACTACAAACAGACAAATGAAATGAATAATATACTTGCTAAATTTTTTGTTGCAATTGATAGCCCTCTGCAAATTTTCTAACCAGTCCTTTTCATTATAGATTATCATTTTTTCAGTGATAGGACAAAGAACAGACTTTACGAAAGGCGTCGGACCGTCGGACATGCCTGGCAAATTTCGTCTCGGTCCGATAAAAAATCTTGTATCGTCGGACCTTATGTCCGGCGAGTTTTCAAACTGACTGCATGGAAATGTGTAAATATAAGGAATACGTTGTTGTTTCTTTTCTGGACGATATATTTTACTTCATTCGAAAAGGGAGACGGGGTGAAAATCTCGGGGAGTTCCCAGCTAATTATACATAATTTATTAACCTCAGTTTCACTCACAAATACTATTTTGTGACTGGCTGAGGTTGGGGGATTCCTGGATGATGTAATGTACAGTCTCATTTTCGTTTTTGTAATACCCCTAAAAATGGCCGCAACACATGTGCTCGTGCTATTTTGCGTTTTTACAGACTTAATCCTCTGTTTCTTCATTATCAGTCGTACACAGTACTCATGGATAAGCATTTAGAAAATGTCTTTGTTGAACTTTAAACACTTCGTTGGTGTAAAGCATGGCAAAAATGAAAACGAAGTGAGGAAGAGAAACGGAAGTTTACTAAAATTGGAAAGAAGGTAGGCCCTGGCGGTCTTATGATCTGAAGGAGAGGAAAATAGTGTGAGCCAAGTGGCAGGAGTACTAAAGTTATCATTTTGATCAATAGCAACATAAATGCTACAGTTTTATTACTGGTTCTTAAATTATGGAACATAGTACGTATTTGCATGTACCGTTCACCACGAGTTGGAGAAAGTGCACAGTTACTTGAGAAAAGCTCACAGTTTGAGTTTCTTTTTATAAAAAAAGAAATAAAGTGAAGAAGGGACTTAGACTCGGGCTGAACAGTCCCTGTCAAAGCTTCAATTGGATGAAAGAGACCGCCTTACTGTGCTGTTTCAAAATGCATATGTTAATGCCAAAAACAACGTGTGAAATGGTTATCTGATTAACGGACGTTTTTATGGACATGCATTTGATATTACTAGCTACACATTCTTCATACTTGTATTGTTTTTAGTCCTTGTGTCATTCCACAATGTCTTTTTCATTAAATAAAAAAACTGGTTATGCAAGTAATTTTTTGTCTATTTTTTTTTTTTTTTGTTTGTTTTTCTTTCTTATTTTACTTTTTTACAAATAAATATATATCAAAAATTTAATATTTGATTTAATGTCAGTGGTTTAAAACGTTAGAAAATACACATGAAAACATGTATAATGGTTCATATTTCTATTATTTTACTTCGGTCTGACAGATTTTGTTTCGGTCTGACAGAATTTTCAAGCTTGGCAGACCGAATGTCTGACAGATTTTTTGGCCTTTCGTAAAGTCTGAAAGAAGTCACACTTCTCACCAAAAGGAGTTTGAAATATAATACTTAGCATCTCAACATGTTCTTGTTATAACGTAAATTTCTTTTCTTTTTCCATAATGGAAGCTTAGTACAACCAAATATAGATCGTTTTATGTGACCTCAAGATTCTTGTAATAATGAAGGTGACAGCCAAAGCTCCAGCTAGTAGCAAATCTGAAACAAATTCAACTGTTTTCTCACAAATAAACATAAGCTTCAGATAACCAATCACCTTTTTAAATAACTTCAGTTTTCAGAAAATATATGAACTCCCAAGTTGTATATAACCTTGACTTGCCTTACCTGCAGACCCTGAGAATCCACTAACAAACTCTCTTCTACAGTCACAAGGAGCTATGTACTCACTCTGAAAGGTTTCAAATACACACATTAAATATGCATATTTTTTAATATTTAAAAATACTGATAATGGATTTCAAAATTCTCTTTTAAAGTCATAATAACTCTTCATTTTGGCCAAAAATTGGATTTTCCTGGAGTAAACGGCAATTTTCCCATACTTACCAATGGTCAGCGACCCCATTCCTGCATTCAAAGTTAATCCAGGGTTTTTTTCCTAAACGTACGGTTTTTTGTTAAAATCTCTTAAGAGATTTTAACTGACGGAGCTCTCTCTGACATCGCATAGTCACTGTTGACCTACTTAAAACCGCGGGAAAAGCAGACAACAACAACACTATATAAGATTCATGAGATATATTCGTCTTTTTGTTAAAAATACATTAATATCCACAATGTGTGCCGTTCTGGGCTTTTTGTTATCCGACGCACTGTACAAAAACTCGCAACTTACGTCTGCGTCCGCATTAATGCGTTTGGCGCCATATGTTATTTTGGTCTCGAATGAACGCGAGAATCCGCGTGACACCATTACGTCATTAGCAACGAATGCCTTGATGAAAGCTTCGAAAGCCCTATTGACAAGCACAGATTTTAGTTTTACTACAATAACGGCCGTTTTAGTGGTAAAATACAATAGAATATATTTCCATGCATTGTTTACAATGTATTTCATGCGGAATTTTGAATCTCAAAGGAAGAGTTATTATTGCTTTAAATGAAAGAAAGATTCATTTCATTTGTCTGCTCTGTGTGGAAAAAATAAAAAATAAACTTTAAAAAAATGTTACTGATATTTACTATTTTCAAAGACAAAAAATATATATATATATATATATATATATATATATATATATATATATATATATATCGCATGATACACTTCTTAGTAGTATATGTATACTTGTCATCAAAAGCACAAAGCATACTAAAACACTGACATTTACTTACAAATATATTTAAAGTGTATTTTTAAATATATTTAAAAACACACTTTGCTTTAAATGATTTAAAGAAAAATACCAAAAAGCACATAATACCTGGTGAGCATCTTCTGAAGGTACAATATATGCCTGGAGTTCCTCCGTGACATAGTGACTGTTTTTCATCAAGCCACGCAACTTATGAAGAATTAATGAGGTATTCTTGGCAGACATGGAGCAAAACCTGAAACTAATGAACATCTTTTAAAACAACAGTGTTATACCAGCCCTCTATATACATCCAAGTTATTAATATGTAAAAATCTTCAGTGTAAAAAAAAATCACAAATAATGCACTGAGCCTTTATTCATAAAATCAGTTGAGGGGTGTGTGGAGGGTGATACACTGCTTCATTAATCACATATGTTAAAACAATCACAATTATTGTTTTATATTTTATCTACATTATAAAAAGTATTGAATAATTTGCCATTAAAATGTTGTCAAAACCAATTATGGCATGGTCTCGTAGCGTTTTTATGCTCAGACCATCAAAAACATTTGGTTTTTAGTAATCCTAATTTTTAACTGTCATGTGCAGACATGGTTATGACTGGTCATGACCACTTAAAATGGCAGAAGACCTGCAATTTTTTAATGTTGATTGTCAACACTTTTAAATCGAAATCAATGAGTATGCAGTTAAAATAATTTCAATGCAAAGCTGATTATCCAGCAAAGTTAAATTTTGCAAAAAAAGAAAACTTTCTTAACAAATAATACAGCATTGATTCAATTTAGTCCTTTAATGCTACCTACTTACTGTAGCCCAAATACGAAAAGAAGGGACCTACTGACTGACTGCAAGGCCACACAACGGTAGTAGTCACGCCATAAAGGTACAGTAAACAATGCAGGTGGTTCGGCCTAAGAAAGTTCATCTCGAGTTACTCTAAAAAGTCGTCGTTGGTAAAATGCCTACCTTAATGAATACTCGATAAGGGATAATCTGCGACACCACAAACGTCTAAAAAACGGCATTCGCCGAGTTCTTCTGCAGTTTTTCAGGTATGCAGTAGGAGATGCCGCTGCTGTTTAGTTCACATGCAAGCTGCCATAACAGTGTCCCGTATGAAGTGTGTTTGCAGGGAGTGGGGGAGTTTGTCATGTCACATCCAACGCATTCGAGGCTACTTGGGGGACCTTGCGTAATCATAATACATATTACGGGGACACATTTTCCCGTTTTGGATGTTGAATCAATCACACAATTGTAATGGTCTAATATTTAAGAAAAATACTTCATTCAATCTCTGTTAAGAAATTATATTTAAGATATAATTAAGAAAACTGTAATAAGCTTGTTCTTACTGATCAACTTATTTATATATCTTTTTAAAAAAGTTCCAAATAAGCAAATGGAAATGATGCCGTTTACGTAGAGGCAATATCGTCTACACAAAAATGTGCAACATAAATCGCTTATTAGCGTATGATGAACACTTCCTTAAGTAAACTTGCAAAACAATCTTATAATAAATGTCAGTAGTTTTAAAATTTTACTTTTGTGTTTCTAGTCCACATCTCAAGAATTGGAACAAAATCAAGATTACGGTAACTGCTATCAAATACAATTTGGAAAAAAAGAAAAAAAAAAAAAAGACATAAGGCATCAATAATTTTAAAAGGCATTCTGTAATTACAGTATCACTTTATTTTGTTTTCATTTCTCAAAAATATAATAAACAAACCATGGTATATTTGCAGAAAAACTGTCACAATTTTTTCAGGGAAAATCAATTTTTATACTGTAACCATTCCAATGGATAAGACATGCTTTAAGCAATTTCAGTCATTAATTTGGTATATATAAAGATATATATCAACACATAAAACATATCAACAATTATATTTGATACAACAAAAATAAATATTCCACAGCACCTTTGCATATATATATACATATATATCAAATTAACAATTAGCAAGGGACATGGCTAAGAGTGAAGCAATGCATTCTCAGGCTGCTTTTAAAGAATTTTTCTTTATGCTGAAGTTAAAAATACTAAACCATATTGAAAGCATTTTTGTATTTAAATCTTAAATCATTAGCCACGGAGCATCTACATATATAAACAAGTACATTCAACACACGCAAGCCCTTTTTAAATCTCTGGACCTGTACTATAAAAAAAACTTCTTAAAAGGTGGAATGTAGAAAGATAATAAAAGTTAGGTGTACAATCAACTCCCCCCCCCCCCAATATTTAAATCTTAAACCATTAGTCACAGAGAGCATCTATAAGCATGTTTATGGATCTCACTACATTCAATATATACAATCCTTTTTTAATCTCTTGACCTGTACGACTTAAAAATAAACTTCTTAACAAATGGAATGTAGAAACATAGTAAAAGTTAGGTGTACAATCTACTCAATTTTCATTGAAACAGGAGACAGGGGGTTGAAGTTGGTGTTTTGCTGAATTGGATACAGGAATAACAAACTACAAATACTCAAATACTGTAGTTATATTAGATCACAGCTACCCACCAACTACTGTTACTCAATGTTATGAAGAATACCTTAAGTTTTGGGTTTTATAATCACCTGAGCATTAATATACTTGAGTTTGCTGTCTACTGGAGTCACATAGATCACACATTCATTTATATCAAAGGTCCACTTCAGCTGGCCCTTCAATTCTACAGTGAAACCTTTTGGGTAGTGAAATTTGGGCACAAATATTTCTGTGGGTTGCTGTATTGCAACTAAATGAACATATCTATAGGTAAATATTAAAGAAGTGAGATTGAAGTTTAAATACTTGGGAGTGCCAGCAGTGGCTCTTGGGTAGACACGCGAAAAGGACCTCACTTGATTCCAGTTTACACTTCCATTGGAATAATAAAAGGAAGAGTCCCAGTATGTCCAAGACTGGAGTGCAGCATCTGCCCCCTGCATAGTGGACTCACATTCTACTGTCCCCTCTGTTTTGTTATTACCATCTGTGCTACAAATACCAAACTCAGTGAGGAAGGAACCTCCTCCTATTTTTTCTCTATCACCACGGACAGCAAGAAATACAAAAGGACCCCAGAAGTCATCACAGGCTATTCTTTTCCATTCAGGGTAGGGAAAGGGTTCATCTGCAGGTTTATCAAACCAACAGTAATAATGATATGACAAAGCACTGCGGTTCTTGTAGTCATTTCCTCCAGGTACCATGTTGAATCCAGTTCCAAAGTGATGATAATCATTTTTGTAGATAACACCCCAAGTTACTGGCTCGTAAAATATAATTGTGTCATCATCCACTGCACGAATGGCTTTATTTATCACATTGTACATTGGCATTAGATTACGACTACCTGCATTGCCTGGTAATAGTAAACTCAGATTGCTCCATATGTCTCCTGCCCAAGGTTCATTGATAAGTTCATAGCCAAGAACACCACCCCTGCCCTTAAATATCTTAGCAGTGGTCTGCCAAAATCGTGAAAAGTAGCCCAATGCATTACTTCTGTTACTGTATAATCCCTGAAATGCCATGCCAGTGGCTTTAGCTAGATATCCATCTTCCCACGAGCCTATATTCTTAAAGGGCCACGGAAAAGCTTCATCTTGAGAGGGGTTGGGAAGTTTATTTACCAACCATAATGGAATCCCATCATATGACTGAAATTTGGAAGACATGACATCTTGATGCATGTCAAGCAGAGAGTACATGCCATAGTTTTCCAAAGTGTCAACAATCGAAGACATAATATTTGCATATGTCGTGTTGAAGACACCTTCTTGTGGTTCGAGTCCACTCCACATCATACCTAATCTTACTGCATTGAATCCCCAATTTTTGTAGTCTCTTAGTTTGGTTTTGTTTAGTAGAGTTGCTGGATACCAGGGAAATCCTTTCTGCACCATGTTAATGCCATGGAAAAGCATCACACGCCCATTGGGGTCCACAAACCATCCATCAGCATTAACAGATATCTTTTGAAGACCAGCTGCAGAGATACTGGGTGCTTGGGTAGTAAGGAGGAAAACTGCCACTGCCATATACAAAATCTTCAATGACTCCATACTCATCAGTCTTGGGTGTGGAAAGTTTCTATATCAATACTGGATACAATGTGACTGCAAATAACTAAAAACGGACGAAATATTGTAGTGTTATCAAGATTGAGTTATCAACAGCTGATAATATACAGTAGGAGTACATGTACACGTACATGTAATGTACACATGAGTCAACCAAAAGCTCGCAATCTGTACAGTGTGGTAGAGTGCCGGTCAACTTTGAGGCAAAACATGTTAGGATGGATAGAATCCGGTAAGTCGTCACAGTCTACATCACCAGACGGTCATCTGACTTCTTGTACTACGTACGTAACTTGTGTGTCCTGCCAGCATATTGTGAGAGCTGGGTCACCTCACTAGAGTTGTAAAACTGCTACCTGGTCAAGGATCAACTTTAATATCCCCACGCTAGTTAACTTCAAAACCTCATCTTTCTCACCGAAAATTCCTAATTTAACAGTTGGTTTCGGCTTAACCTGAATCTCGTGACACTAATTCATGACCTCGATATGATAACAACAACACACTGCGTGGAAACGAGGCTCACAAGAGCAATTTATATTCCGAAATCGAGGCGAAGATAAATGATTGATTGAACATTGTATACTTATAAATATAGGGTGTTTTCCGTTGAAGGACAATCAGTGGCTTTCACTCTGTCAATAGTTAAATCAAATATTTCTGTTTCACCAACATAACTATATTTCCCCTTTTAATTTTCTTAAACAATGAAAGTTGTATACCACTTAAAATGCTCTTGACCTACATGTACAAGCAATTAACTGGGCACTAATTTGTCTAATGATGTAGATAGGGAGACAAGCTTCTGTTTATATAAACTTGGTCTTATAGATAGTTACATGTAAATAAAATGGAAAAATACTGTAGTCTTTCTATATGATATTGTATTCAAATAAATATTCATCTTATCAGCTTTTTATTTTCTCTCTCTTTCTCTTAAATCCTACATACATGTATTTGGAACACTAACACTATTGTGTTGGTAATGTAAACTTCCAAATTAAAAGATGCAGCATGGAAAGCTAAATATTCACCTGATGGTGTACAAAATCATTTGAATAAACTTTGATTCTGGACAAACCAAAAAAAAAAAATGCTGATTTTATGTTTGGTGACATTCTGTTGGCTATTGGATGTTTCTATTGGATGTTCTTCCCAATTTAAAGAAATGAAATAATTCAAGGGGTACTGAAATAACCTGAATGAACATGGGGTTTGAATTAAAAAATATGTAGTTGTGGAACTTGGCAATGAAAGCTGTCTGATCACAAAAACAATTTATTTTTATTTTCATATTTATATTTTTGGTAACACTTTATATTTGTTTTTAAAATTAAGTTAGAATGTCAGTTGTATTGGAATTGAAGTAAAAGAATTTTATACCATGTTTTAGTCACAATTACACCCTTCAATAATGGAAAACAATCTTGATTATGCTAGTATTATGACATGTCAAAAAATAAAAACCTTTTTCTACGAGTATAACCACAGCCTCTGTATATACACGGGTCCGACATAAATGTACACGTATTCTTGGTCAAAAAGGTTGACCCACCTCTAACCCAGCTTGGTCATGTCGTTTGAATTTTTTTTTTTTTTTTTTTTTTTTTTTTTTTACCTCTGTGGAACATCAGATGTCCAAGATTTTACTGGGTTAATTATTAAATATATGGATATCTTCACTGGTATTTGGCATTTTCTATGCTGTACCCGTACTATCTGGAATCATGACCACTAAAAAAAAAAAAAAAGTTTACAGCTGTGACGTGATCCTTTTTTACAAAAATACATGTTATTAGAGATGGGGCATGGTACCTTTTTGACCAAGAGCATATGAATGTACCAAAGTCACCAGTACAGTACTAGCAGTATACAGTATAACTACAGGCGCTACCAGGGCCTACAGGAATGTTATTGGATAGGAATTTCTGATTTATAGCTAACCCAAGAAAATAACCTTTTTACCTTTAACTTGAGGTATCTAGATTGATTTTAATAGATCTCCAGAAGCACGAAAATATGGACCACCCTAACCTGAACAAAACTTCAGCTCCAATCTCATGAAAAACTAGTTTTGGTATTTATTTTAAAAAACAAGCATGCTATTGGCCATTTCTTCAAACTAGGACCCTCTATAGACACTAGCTGCAAATAAATAACACATTCACAGATTAGGAGATTAGAAAGGGAAAACACCCAAATCAATAATATATGAGAAAAAAATACATTTTTAAAATTTTTTCAAGGCATTTGGTGTTCCATTTTCAGCATTGTTTCAGAAAATCTAGAAAGATTATCCATCAGACTGGCTGTCAGATGAAAGTCTTATCCAAACCATGAAGAAACAACCACAGTGGGGACAAAAATACTCTGTATGCTAAAAAAAAACAGTGTAAAGCCGAGATATGTGACAAAGGGGCACGATTAGTTGGCAGGGTAAGGGGATCATCTTGTTATTTTTAAGTATTTTTTATCAAAATATTTGTCCATACATCCAGTAAAATGAAGGTGTTTTATTTTTGATAAAAGTCTTTTAGTTAAAAGATCCATAGTTAAAAGATCATTGCTCTTTATTCCTAAGTTTCATTCACATGAATGTTAATTGCTCTGAAGATTTAGTAGTCCGAACCATCACCAGTTCGAATGTCTGTTTCACAATTATAATCCTCACGTCAGTCCTTAACTAACTCTAGTTACAACAACTACATATGAAATACGCTGATGCCAGAAGGTATGTTGGTTGGCACAAACTCATAGAAATTTAAATAAATCTATATAGCCCGATTATAAAAAAAAAAAAACCAATACAAGATATATTGAAAACCCCCAACTCCGTGTTTCAGGATTCCATCGAAATTTTGTAGTGTCTGGTAATAAGGACACAATGTGACTGGGAAGACAAAAGAAATTCATTTACTTTTATTCTAAGGGGAAAATACTGATAAAAGGCAATTTCATTTTCATAAGTCAGATACTATGAAATTATGCCACTTGCCTTCATCTACAATAATATTACTTATGTTCAAAGCAAACACCAAAAATTTCTTTACAGACTTTCATTTATTCAAATTTGACCTATAATTGTATTATTATAATATTTAATTCTATCATAATCTAGATCCCTTTGGTAAAAAGTGAAAATTAGCATCAAATCTTATATAAATGGAAATACACAATGCCATTGTAACTAGAAATGTCCTTCTTATACAAAAAGCTGAAACAAGGTTTGAATCATGATGTAGCAAAGTGTTCGATAACTCAATCGGTGTGGGTATACATATGGCAAGTCAGTAATGCATCCTAGAAGTACGATGTACATCCGGAGAATCCGAGACCACTTTTCTTTAGTTTCAAAAGACCGATTCAAAATGCTAAGACACTATAAGAAGAAGTTTTTAAAATTACCAACTTACAGTCTTCAAGAATTCTTTACTCCCTTACATTCAAAATTGGGCTCAATAAGTCACTCCTCAAAGGCAAGCTATTACCACTGTTATCTTTTCTTGAACAGCTAATGCATAAAAGGTGAAAATGGCCAGATTCTCTGTTTCCAGTATTTCTTACTCCTCTTTCTTTGCATGTGTTTTCAGTTCAATGAACTTGATATGAAATGGAGTATTTTTCAGATATTATGCTACACACAATGAGGATCAGACACTGTGTGCATCACTTCTACAGTAATGTATTTCTATTCAACATGATATGTTGATCCAGTATAATCATGCAACTGGATAAGGTGCTCTGACAAATGAAAGCAAATATAAAACTATCAAATTATGAAATGATTAACGAATATAAAATACTGATTTGTTTCTATGTACAATGAACAGAATAAGTACTTAATCTATCTTCAATTATACATCTTAATTTGATTGTTTTGCAATAGGGTAATGCATAGTATTAGTGTTGCATTACTTTATATCGATTTACTTTTTATTTATTCTTGCTTTACATATTATTGCTCTTTGGACTACATAATGAATTTTACTATATCATTTTATATGAAAACAAATGCAAGCTAGTCCACTACCCATGTGGAACACATATATAATATCAATAGGTCTATTTTTCATTACTGAAATCTTTCAAGATCTGCAAGACCTTAGCTTGGACCATAATCATACAGGCTTTCTTGTTTTTACATACTAGATTAATATGCAGAAATGCATCATAATGAATATTTATTAAACATTTGCTTTGGTGACACAGTCATAAAGAAAATACACATTATCTGTTCTTTTCATTTTTTTCTTTGTTGTAGGATTTTGCAATTGTGTTAAATGTATCTAATACCTGAACTCTACTTTCTAGACAGGAAAGCAGTCCCATATCCAACCTTAAATCTACCATGCAGTTCCAGCAGTCAACAATTTTTCTTTTGCCAACAGTCTTAAAGGTTTGTCTTCAACCTAATGCAAATCCAATACGATTAATACAAGGGAACTGCGGACATATAACTATTGCCTTAAACTTTTTAATTGATTATGAAGTAATGCATTCTAAAGTAAACATAAACGCATTTTGCAGGCATTAAACCACACAAGCAGTTTAACATACATAAAAAAGAATCACCTTTCATTTTTCTTAGAACCCCAAAATGCATACAAGACAAATATAATTCTAGACTAAAACATAACTTCATGTCACAATATGGAAACTCCTGAGAATATAAAAAGTCCCTAAGCAGTAGTATGAAATGAAGAACTTCCCTGCCCATGCCTGTCTCTTATTGTGGAAACAAGTATTGCTGCCCTTCAGAGTACAGGTGAGGGTAAAGCTGCGACTGAGGCACAAACAGTGGGGAAGGGTGAGGATACATTTGTGCTCTGATCATCTCCTCATAGGCAGCCCTGTGTGCAGCATGGGCCTGTAGTTGAGCCTCTATGAGCTGCTGAGGAGAGTGCAGAATCCCTGGGTGGACGGTGCTGGGAGGGGACAACATCTGGGGATAGGCTGGGTGCAGCAATGGAGAGAAGTCCTGGATGGCACTGCTGGATTTGGGTGTTGCTGATGGATGCTGGAAAAAATTACATAAAACTGTTTAGAAGAGAAAGACCATTAAATCATGCCTTAAAAGATAGAAAGGAATGTGAACTGAGGACAAAGTACATGAACAGACATTTATTTTTAACAATATTTACGACTTGAAACAAAAATTGTTCTCATTTAAGCATTCAGATAAGGATTTTAGTCCATTTCTTGGAATGGGAATCATTTCATAAAGTAACAGAACTTATGTTATCCATCAGTATTATAAACACTACTGTTTACACATTTTTGAGTTCAACCATTATAATTCATTCTTTAGCTAACACTTGCACTTCAGCATTTAAATAATAAAACTGGTGAAAAACAATTCCTTTAAGTAAGCAACTGGCAAAAATATTCTTCCAATTTTTAAATTCAGCGCACAAACAAATACAGACCCTGATATTAACTACCCCTCACCTGAGGTGATTTTAGCTCAGGAGAAACAACTTTCCCCTCTCTTGTGATAACATGCTTTGCAAGAGCTTGCTGGGACTCGATACCATGAGGGTCAAAATAGGAGGTAATAAATGCAGGTCTGTCACTGCCATCCTCACCACCTGAAGATGGTGTTACTGGAGACACACGTCTGTCATCGAGAAGGCTTCTTGAGGCAGAACTTTGACTCCTACTCAATTCAGAATCCATTGACTGTGGGGAATTTGTACGTTTGACAATGTTACTATGATATGGCACTTTAGGGCTCACTGTACCTTGCTGGCTAGGTCTGGGTGATACAGAGTTCATGGTTAATGTTGTTTTTTCACATTCAGTGTACTTGTTGCTGGATGATGCCGATGCTGAAGTACATGGTTTACTTTCTACCTTGGTATCAAATGCTCCTGTATTTTGTTCATTGTTCTTTTTCATTGATTTCATACTTAGATCAAAAGGTTGGTCACAGGATTCCTGAGTATCTCTACTATGACTTAGGACCAGGTTTGTGTTAGTCTTAAGGAATGACCTCGGGTCATCAGTCCTACAGTCCAGCTTTTGACGTTTGGCTTTTTCTGAATGTGCATTTTCAATGATGACGTCTCCTGACAAACTATATAATGACCTGTGTTCCTTGGCATAACTATCTGGCAAAGAGCTTTTTTTCTGATGAGCTGGGAGTGGATAAGGATATGGCCTTTTCATAGGAAGGTTATAGTGATGTGATGGCGGAAAAACCCCTCCATATTCGGACTGTATTCTTGTATACAGCTGTGAAGAGGAAGCTTCACTGTCCATTGGTCCCTTTGATGACAGATGTGTGTGTTGAATCACTGAAGGTCTGTGAGCAAAAGACTCTTGTCCATCTATGCTATCCCTGTTACTGGTACCTACAAAAATAAAAGAAAATGTTAAAATGTTTACAGACCTAGAATTTAAATATGACTCATCTGACAAACCCATTACAGTACTGTTCATAATTTCTTATATCTCTTAATTGATTCATAACAATTTTATTAACAGATATAAAATAGCAACTTTTGTAATCAATAACAAAATACTATACTCTGTGACTAGTTACTCGTGTTCTAATGAATAAGTGACTGTTAACTCATACTTTTGCCATCAGCAGTATATTTAGCATCTTCATGGTACACTTTTGCAGGAGCATTTTCTCTATTCCCCCCTGAAGTCTTTACTAAGGGTGGAGGCAATGGACGGCTGCTACTGGACATATCCTGACCCTGGCCTAAAGAGCGGTGCAAAAACACCTTTTTCTGCCCTAAGGTTGGCACACTAAGAGGTTGTTTCTGCAGAGGAGGAGGAATGCTGGGACGATTTGTTTTATCATATTCTCCATCTTGGTTGAATTTTACTGTTTCAGCTCTCAATAGCTCACGTGGCTCTTGCAAAGTAGTTGGGCTTTTCATTGGAGTCACAATGCCCACTGGCTGGTGATTGACTTTTGATGAAGAGGGCATGTCTGATTCTTTGTTGAAGACATGATTGGGATGCCCTTGTCTCACCTAGAAATGGAGTATAGTAGTTTTACGTGGATGTTGGCAAAGACCTACTTCACCCCGTTTTACATGCCACTGAATGCTCTCTTTGGTTGTATTCAGTTCTTGTTCGTCTGTAACATCAAACACATGAAAGTTAAAGCATGTCATTAAGTTAAGTTGGAGAGAAATTTTTCAATGAGTTTACCTTTTGCACAAGTATTTTGTGTCTTCTCATCTCTTCCCACTTCCTCTCTTTTTCCATCAACTCCAGGCTGGTTCCAAACTTCTGAATGAGAGACAAAACATGTCAAACAAAGTAATCTCAATACACAAGACATTTTTCATAGACCTTTTTACCTGTCATTTATATGGGAGCCATCCAAATACAGGTGCTACATATAAGGAACAATATCAAGAATTAAACAGACAGATACCACTGACTTTTGCTTAAAGAAGAAAAGTATCATGGTTTGGCTTTAGGTAGGACTGGTGATCCCTATATAAAAGGCTACAGCAGTGTCTGAGCATTCACAAGCTGTATTCACCTTTCTCCCCAAATTTGAGTTTCTCTTTCTGTCTTCCCAGGCTATTTCTTGTTCGTTTTTGATTTTTTGTCCTCTTCTTCCTTCTGTGTCAGAGGTCGGCCTGCGAGGCGGCTGTTTGTAAGGCACTGGCAGTGGTTTGTGTAGCTCTCCTTTCACATAACGTTCAAATGGCAACAGCAGCCTGAGGCATAAGGAGTTCATATACAGACACATGTATAACATACATGTATGTATCATTTTCTAATTTAACTAAAAGGGATGTTATTTGTCCAAACCAGTTACTTGTGAAAAAATGATCCAAATATAATTCACCAATTTTCAAGCTCACTGGCAAGTCCTGGATAACAAGGTGGGTTAGGCCTAATTTTGACCCCATTTCCATAGATTTTTAGATCGATCTATCCCTTCGGAGAGTCTCACTAGATTACTGTCAGCTTGGCCGGCTTAAGCGTCTGTCCCGCCTACTAAAAGCTGTAAGGGGGTAATTAACTATGGTGCCCGCTCGGCTGACTGCAATTTAGCGTGAACCCCCAGGGAGTTAGGTCGATCTAAATCTTAATCTCTAGATCGATCTAAATCTCTGGGAAAGCACCCTTTGTTTGCCCCCACTCACTGTTAAGAAGATGCAATGGACAGATATATAAGAATAGTCTAACAATGACGACCAACTAATTTAACAATGAAAGTCCAAAAAATGTTTTTTTTTAAAGTCTGCTGAATCATTTCTGCATTAACAAGAAAAAATTCTGGGAAACTGTATGACAAGAGTGACAACAGACACAGGTGACAGCTACATGTGCTGATACATTGTTTATGTCAATAAAAAGGTGCAATGTAACTAAGGAAATAAGCACAATGGAGTATATGAAACATGCTTCTGTGTGTGTGACCTTTTTCTTTTTTGGGGGGTGGGGAGTGGGCTACAATTTGGTTTGGAAATGGGGGCAACCTCTAGATCTTCCCTTGTACATCACAATGCTTAACTCAGTAACAGGTATACCTGCACTGTTTAATAATTATTGCAAACCCACTTACTTCTCATAATGCCTTCTGGTGCAGGTGGCAGCACTAGTACTTCCTGGGTTACCTCCTAGTTTGTCATAAAGGTGTTTCCAAAGCCGTTTGTTAGTTATCTAAAACCAAGTAAAAAACTGGATGATCCTATTGAGAACAGCAAATCATTAATTCAACAGATTCTTTTAAATTAACTTTCAACTGTGAACATAATGACATAACTGATATAGGCAGACAATTATAGCACCTGTCAATTTTTAAGACTGACTATTAAAGCACAGCAGGTGACACCAACATTTAACAGAATAGGAATTCCAAATTTTTCATTTCCCCTTGATCTTACAACAAATTTAACATAAAATGTGTATTTTTTCAGTTTCTCTGCTTGGGATGTTTAATTGTAAATGAAAATAATTTAGCTCTAAACAAAAATGTTTTCATTCATCTGCATTAAAAATAAAGATATCTTTGAGCAGTTTTCTATATTTCCCTTTTTAAAATGGAGCTGTTCTTTACCTGTTCATAGCCCCCATACTTCTGTGCACTGGAGTAAAAGTAATACAGGTCAACTGAAATAAAATTTAAGATGGTGCAGTTTTTCAGTCTGAAAACAGGGATAACTTCTGTGCTTCATTTTACTAGTAAAATCTTTAATTAAATTAAAATTCAATTTGACGTGCCACATATTACAACAAACCATGAAATTTAACTAGTAAAAACTTATATAATGCCAAAAGTAAACAAACAAGAATGGTTGTCTGGTGTATTTTTGAACTGCCCGCAGGTAACAGTATTGTATCCATCCATAAATTATTGTAAGAAATGACAAGGATATGTCACACTGATATTATGTCTGAGCAACTGTGACCAAAAAGTGTGGAAACCAGTCATCTCTAGCTACTAATTTAACATCCATCATTTTAAAGATCGTTTTTAGAAGCTACTATGATACAATTATTATCATTATTATTTTGTTGCTAAACTTTGTATACTTCATTTGGAATCATTTCAACACCATACATTTTATGTATTCTCAACATGTAGCCCGCTTATAGATGAAACGACACAGCCAGTATATATCACCATAACAAATGAAATGCAATGCAATACTAGCTTCCAATTTAAACATAATTAATATCCAGTTGAGCATTATACATGATGCTTTATTCATACTTACTGCACCAGACTGAGCTGGTGAAAATATACAGAGATAAAGTAATAGCAACAATAGTAATGAGAGTATAGACCTTTTTTCCCTAAGCTGATTTTAAAGTAATACTTTATCCTACTGATACAAGACACTTACTACACACTCTATGCTTCATTTAACTTATTTTTACTAATAATACTTCTTGAGAGGATTTATCAGGGGTTCAACATCAATCTTACCATGGCCTTAACTTAGGAGCTTAATACATAAGGAAATGCTACATTAAGTTCAATATTTAGAGTATCATCTAAATAATTCAGAATCTTCATTTTACCCAAAAATTTCATGATTGATTTTTAGGAAACAGTCACAAAATATAAACATTAAAAATTCAGCCTTCAAAACCGACTCACTTGTTTTGAATCCTAATGAAGGGACCTTGGTGATGGGACTCTGTCTGTTCCTCATGAACTTATACAAGGCTGCCAGAAAGTCTGCTTCTGCCATATCTTTAGGTGACATAGACTTGCCATTCCTTCTCTCTCCACGAGCCTGAGACTAAAAAAAAAAAATGCTTCATGAATTCACATATACTATTGTTCTTTCCATCTTGCTTGACTTGAGAAAAAAAAGCCCAAAAAGACAAGATCAAATATTTATATATTGGCATTCCCAGACAGGATACCAATATTCAGGGAACAGGCTCAGATGGATGGGGTTGGTCAAATGTGATATGGGATATGAGTACATAATTCGCATTTGCTATTTTTTAACAGAGGCAATGACAAACAAAGTGAAATAATACACCAGACAACCATTCAAATCTGTTTAACTGATCAGATTATCTGCATGCCTTCATTCAACTACTTACATTATAAGCTCCATCATGCCTCTCATATAAAAAAGAGTGTACAACATATGGCTCACCTTCTTAAAACTGACAGAATCCATGCTTGTACTTTCTTCTCCTGACTCTGACTCTATAGAACTCTCCTTTTTAAGACGTTTCTTTTTCCTTGGACGGCCTTTTAGGTTTGGTGCTGTTATAACGAAATGTAACACTTAATACAGACCTGAAGATTTTAACATGCATAAATATCTACATGCAATAACAATGGAATAAAAATCTACTGGGGATGTTATATGAATGCATAAAGGGGCTTTGAAATCCACACATTCCTTAAGGCAAAACTCGATACCAAAAGCCATAATATTGGATCTCATGAACTATATCAAATGCATGCAAAGAATTATCTGTTACATTTGGATAACCTTAAACAAAAAAGTTTATGTATTTCACAATCTGTTGTGGTTTTCTGACCAACTACCAATATGTATTACTGTATGAGCATATCTTTCAATTAAATTTCAGGAAAAAAATGCAACAACAGTGACACGGACAGAAACAGTGAACAAAATATGCTGATGCTTTACAGTATGTACAATATGTACATTAATTTAAAAACAATATGTCTATTGCCAAACTTACCAAGTTCATCACAACGCACTTCAAGTTCCTCAAGTTCTGGATGCTCAAATGTGTCCTTACAGAAAAGTATTCGAGCATTCTTACTGTTAAATGTAAAGCCACCAATGGCACACACTAAGGTGTTCCTAAGCCATTTGTCTGTCACTCCCTCGAGGCGTTTGAGAATGGCTTTGTAGCGGCAGTATTGGGAATAACTAAGTATTATCACTTCCGTGCCTTTCATGCTGTTGCAAACACCTGAAAATTTAAATCAATGCTACTGTCATTTCTACTGCTGTCAAAGAAATGCTACTCCTTTATTCACCACTTAGGAATAACACAATATATATATACTTTGAATTTAATAATAACAAGATATTATAACAGAACTGAACATAAAATTGGTTACATTTTATACATGTTTTTATACTAGTACATGAACAATATTTTCATATGTCAAACAGGATTATGAAACTGATAATATTTTAATACTGATCAAATAAAAAATAGCATGAAAAATTAATATTCTTTATCAAACCAATAAGTAAACAGGCATTTGCATTCTCTGTGATGCTGCTTTTGCATACTCATCTTATTAATATTTACCACTCCTTTGTTTCATCATGTACATTTAGTACCCTAAATTCCTAACAGATGGGGCTCTTATCTGTGCAGTATTGCAACTAAGTACTCGTGGATCATTTATCAAAAAGATAAGTCTTACTGAGTTTATCACTGACTGATTCTCAAATATACATAATAATAATAAGCCCTTAAACCAAAATCGGTAGAATATATTCTACCGATTTTGGTTTAAGGGCTTATATATATATATATATATATATATATATATATATATATATAATATTCATACGTATATAATCATCTGCACAGAGCAGTGATGTACTGCAGAATCTTTTAGGTCAAATATCAAGTTACCTACTTAACAGGACTACATGCAAATCAATTAATCTGATATTGCACCTAACAGCTATCACCAAAAGACTGGTAAATATCAACATCAAAACCCATAAAAAGTATCAATTTCACATTTCTGAACCAAGGTAATGAATAAGGCAGATTCAATGATAGCGGCAATTATTCTGGATCCATTTTTTAATTCTGCAATGCAAAGATTACCTGCCTATAATATTCAATGTCATTAGTCGGGAGAAGGAATCAATAACAAATCTACTTACCATGCTACCGATGGCCTACAAATGAAATGAACTGCTTTTTTACTGCATCACTACATATAATGACATTCCAACATAAAGCCACTGATACTGTGCCCTCATTTATTTTGTGCTTTTAAGTTTATGTCAAGTTGTTGTCTTTAAAACAGCTTTCTTTTTCCTAATTGTAATAAGTAATAAATAACTGTTATATATAAATATCATCATAAAGACACTTGATAACCTTTTTAAGTCTATATAATACATATCCTCTTTAAAGAAATTGTATGTTATGTTCACTTAGTTGGCACCAACATATCTTTACTCCATTTTGTATCACATGTTTACCAAAAAAACAAATACTAACACAAAGATTCTGTATGTTTTTCCCTTTGTAATATAGTACTATTTGAAACAACAACATTAAAATGACTCTTGTAAATTGCAACTGCCATGGCACCAATATAACATTGAATGCACTAAAAATGATGCATTTGCTAGCACATCTTTCTTCACATTGGTTTCTATTAAAATAACCAAAAGGAGGTTTCAAAATGATAGTTTTAGGTATAATGACCACATCTCTTCATAAAATGAAATCTAGAAAAAATTATTAATTACTTGGTATTGATTTGTTACTTTCACCTAGGAAATCATTTTTGCAGAGAAAAATCTGATAAGGCAATAAATAAATGCAACTGATAAAGTAACCCTAAAGAGAAATACAAAATTACCTCTTACTTTATTACAAGAAGACATGTACCTATATTTACATTTTACCTGTAAATAAGTGTGTGTGTTTTGTGCACATTATGATGTTGGTGTAAGGTATTATCTGTGTTCACTCAGTATGCAAGACAACCCATGAATAAATCATTAGGCACTGAACAACTGTGGTCACACAGCTTTCAATAATCACAAACAACCATATTCAAGGACCCACAAATGTTAAGTGGCCAGAGGTATGGATACAGAAATTTTCTGATGTAATATTCACAAGAAGGGCCAAGTATCATATGCACACTTAAACCAACTAAGGATGCAGGAGAGAAGGCATTTTAGTCCACTATCATTAGCTGAATTTCCATATGATCAATTACTGTAATTGAAGTTATTCTAGTCAAAAGAATGAATACCACTTCCAAGGAATGAACAAATGCCAATAACACATGGTGAAAATTCTACAGCAAAATATTGAATTTTCTTTTGAAAAGATGAAATGTTTGTTTAAAGACATTCAAAATTATTGGAAATTAGATGCGTAAAAACATAACTGCCAATTCAATATTAGACAAAAATAAAATGTTTGGTCCAAGAGGGGTCATAAAAAGACCCTCAAAAAATAAACCAATACATAATATTTAAATATGGTATTAGCTACTTGCTTTCAGCAGTGCAGGATATAAATTAACTTCTCCTCTTAGTGGTATCATTGCATTAAATATAAGTAGACCTATAGAATCTAATCAAGTACAGGTTTTGTGCATAAAGGCATGTAATGGTAATTGATTATATTCATAATAAAACCAAGTGAATAGCAGCATATTAGGCCTTTCTTATTGCAGCTGTAACGTTGACATTGAAGTCCCAATACTGTGTATGAGCTCCAGTTATTAAATTCTCCAAGCTTTAGGACACATTGCAGATATGCACACACCAGCCATGGTTAGTTTGGAGACCAAACAAATCATGCCAAGTGCAACCCCAGGAGCACAGTTGGAGGCCCCTCTAAAGGATAAGCAAGATTATTTGAGACCAATACTGTATATGCACTCAGATCAATAGTTATCTTCTCCTATCTTCATTTAATGTGTAGATATCTTTAAAAGCCCACGGTTATATCTTAAATAGAGCAAACAGAAAAAAACATATCAGTGATCAGAATTGCAAGACATGTTGCAAAAAGATATATCCTCATTTAACATCAAAGAAGAAGTTGAATTATACTCCATTTACCTGATAAACACAGGACATAAGGTCACAAAGGAATCAAGTCAACTAATCACATATCCAATGCAGACTGATTCTTTCTGCCAACACATGGTGATATTTTATACAATCATGATTTCTGCCTATCCTAACTGCTAACCAAGTTCACCTGCATAATTTGTAATGGTCCTACACTGATCTCCCCATTTATCTTTTTACAAAGCACTAAATATAAATATAAATATAAATAATAAGCAGTTGATCCACATATTGCACTTTAATAATTTCTTTCTTTCTTTCTTTAGCTGTGTGGATGTATGTGTATGAGTGAGCAATATTTCTTAAATGCATTTCAATATTCACATCTGCTAAAAAATAATAATAATAAATAAAAGATAAAATAAAGGATGCAGACACAGCAGGTTTACCCAGTGGTTAATAACATTATGTTTATACATGATATCTTTTAAACATTAAAAAATATCTTCTTTTAAATTTCTAGTCCAAGCTTGTTATTTCTTATTAACCAAAAATACTGTCTACAGTGTGGAATAAGGTACAAGTAAAGTCTCTGGCCAATTATAGTTTGTAGCATACATGTGCACTGACTGTTATATTGAAGATCCCTGAGAAAAAATGTATTACCAGTAACATAATTAAGCTTGATGGATACACATTTGCAAGAAAATGTCAATGAATAAAGGAATTAGACTGGAAATTTCTTGGAAATTTCAGCAACATGTTTAAAAGGTAAAGTACTGTTTTGTTTACCTAGGGCTTTCTTTTCTTTCTCAATGTCCTTCCAATCCAAAGCACTGTTGTTGGAAAATGATTTTGTAATGATATTGTTTTGGATGTCTATATCATCGTTCTTCTCATCAGCACTGTAGATGGCCTTTGACCCTGCTGTCCATGTGACGTCGTACACCATCCATTTAAGCAAATCCTCAATCTTCAACACAATTTTCTCAGACACAGCTAGTATCTCATCCTAAAATAAAGTTTGTTTATATTTTATTGAAGTAAGCAGTTTAATTTGACCCAGTGAAAGTATAAGCATACTAGTATATAATATCCAATGTAAACCAACAACAGATTTTTAATTAGATTTTTATAAACACTTGATAATAGAAATACTTTAACTATTTTGGTTCAAAATTAATCACACTCTTAACTGTTAAGATTTATGTTTTAGAATTACCTGTTTAAATAGGTTTAAAAAGTAAGTTTGTTACTTATACGAGCCCAGGTACTATAATAAGTCTTTAACAGATCAAGAATATGCACAAAAGATCCCTAATTACATCAGTGTTAGCAATACACTTGAGCACCCATATACAGAAGAATATTTTTCTCTATAATGTACCACATTTGAATAAAGAAAACACATGCATGACCTCAATATAGTAAAGCTGACACCTCTGGAACAAAAAACTTTTAGGCAATGGGACAAAGAGCATGTTATTAGTATATAATTCCACTTAATTCACAGCACAAGAGTGTGGAAAAACAACCTACTTGCATTGATTACTTATTAGTGAGACTTGTTCACTTGAGGTCACACGAAAGACCACTGATTTATAATTTAATATTCTGAAGATATGTTTAATATTGTAAATTAAGTCTTATAGCATGTGAATTACAAACTATGTTCCATTTTAAATCACAACAATTTGTGTCTTTTAAAGTTATGGAGGTTATTTAGCTTTTAGATTAAAATCAGGAAGACACTATACTGAATTAGGAGCTGAGTCATAAGAAAATGTAAAAAAATCCATTTGTATCATTGAGCAAATATCACCTTGTCCTTGACTCATCAGTTTAGAAAAATATCATTACCACATAATCTAATGTAAAATTTTTGCCATATATAACTGTGAAAAGTCATCAACATCACTGGCAAAATTGCAAATAGCTCCCTTAGTTAATGATATCCTGTTAAGTTCAGACAAAAATGTTATATGCTGTACTCAAACAATGTTCAGTAGTTATTTTTCTCCTTAAAGGCTGATAAATCAACATGTGAACAAAAATTCCAAAATGAATGAAAAAAAAGAGGCTACAATAAAAAGAGCATAAAAGGCCTCTAGTTATATACTAATCAATAAACCGTACCTGACATTTGGGTCAACATTAAACCAACCATTATCAATGGCACAAGAAAACTTAAGTAATCTTTCTTGAGCTGAATGTACCTGGAATGACTGAAGTTATATCAACATTTCCACTCCACTGACTGCAAAACACATGCAAGCAGAAGTTCCCTCAGAGAAAGATTGNGTTACGTCAACTTCGTTTATAAGGGTCTACTTATTCAGCTGCGAAAATCACACGTTATGCCTATTTCATGTTTTATAACAGTGTCATTTGAGAGACGAACGCGACATGGGTCGTGTCAATCTCGCATCTGTGGAGTTCAGTAAGTGGCGAAAGAGACACAGCCATGTCATTTTCGGCTCTCAAAGCTCTGTAGTAAAAGACGAACTCGGCATAGGCCTTGTCGTTTTCGCATGTAAAGGGGCGTCTAAAAGACGCACGCGTAGGCTCCTATGGGCCATGGTAAGATTGAATTGGCATACATGTATTTAACTGGAATGCAACATGAAATTATCTGTACAGCATTTACCTGCTTACAGAATTGTTAATATTTGTCTTTATCTTTTGTTCTTGAACTAATTTCTTTAAGAATGTTTCAATTTTTTTCTGAACATATGGGATTAAATAACAATGAACCCTTTTGTACCAAAATTGACATCTGTTTTCATTTCAAACAAACAGAAATTTCCATGTCTGGCTTAATGTTAGGACTGGAGATGATCAATCTTGACAGCTAAGTTAAAACAAAAATGTGATAATTCACTGGGTCTAAACTGAGCAGGAATCAAATGATTTTCATTTACTCAGATGATGATAACAGAGGATTAGGTTGATTGCATAAAGGTTTCTTTAATTTCATATTGAACTAGTAGGAAAATTAATTCATCTTTTAAGTATAATATTTTCAGCAACTAAGAAGAAAGCACTTTATCTTATCAAAACAATATTCTTGTGACATGTTAATAATAAACATGTTAACCATAAATAAAATAAAATCAAATCAAAAGACCTCTGAAATATAAACCCTTAACACTTTAAGTTACCATTTTATCCGAAATTTGGTTAATACCATATAATATATAGCTATAGTTTACAAGTTTTACTTTTGAGCAAACATAAACTTAAAAAAACAACAAAGGTTGATCAAACCATAATTCACCCACTGTGGTAGTTTTGTGTTATCTAACAAGAACAAATTTGGAAGACTATTCCACATGGATAGGTTGGGCCAAAGGGGTCCTTTCAGTGCTAAATGAACAACCAGAGCTCTTATTGTAAATACTTTTCTGCACAGGTTCATGCATATTACATTTCACTTTGCCCCACAACAAAGGCCATATTTATTTTACATTAGTCAAAGCTGGGCCAAATCACACAATGCCTTAAGTGTGGACTGTGCAAGCTGACATTCTTTAAGACACTTGCAGATGCTGCATTAAACTGTTAACTTCATTGATCAGACACCTGTAATTAACAATTACAAATTCACTACTATTATTTGTCCAATGCTAAAGTAGTGTTTTTAATTGAACTAACTCTGTCTGAACAACTATTATTAATACTGCTGTTGTTTTCCACCAATGAAAGAAACTTCCTTGTGATAATATAATAAATTAATCATCATATGACAAAAATCTTTTTGGAGCAATTTCTTTTTGCATATTTCTAGTAAAAAAAAATAAATAATTTGGCCAATACCACTGAAATTGTGTGGTGAAATTGTTTAAAGGTATCTATCTTATCTTATACCAACACATTCCTACAGATTAAAACAACATATTGCTCTCCTTTAAATATTCAATCTACTTATTTAGTGAAAATAAAGTAGGTCAGATATTATGTGTGTTCAATCCTCTCTGTTATTTACATTTAAACTTCAGCAAAACAGGATCTTTCTTTAAAAACGAGTCTTAATGATCTGTTGGATAAATTTATCTTGTTGCTATATGGGAATGTTTAATCAACTCATTACACATATACTTGGGGCTGGGTTACTGAAGCCCTGAGATAATAATGGGAGCTCAGGATATTTTGGCTAGTATGTGGTCCACTACACATCTTGAAAATTATCTTAAGAGGGATATGCATTCCCTCCTTGTCACAGTATTTGACAAGCTGCACCTCTTACATGTTTGTGTTAATTAAGAGTTACCAACTTCCAGTACACATCAAGCAATAGCAAGGATATCATCAGAGAAATTCCTACACTCCATAATTTGGAGTTACTAAAATAAATTCGTATGCAAACATTCTGAACTTTCAAGTTTGTACCATATTTTAGTTCAAATTAAAAAAGCTATTTCTTTTCATCATTCTAAGTTAGTTATAACAATTGGTCTTTAATATTAAATGAGGCTATTTTCACTTCAAGACAACCATATTAAATAAAACAGTGTTTGCTATTTTAGTTAAACCAATGAGTCTAGGAAGATGATTAATAACAGATGCACTGAGCATTTCCATATATCCAGTCTTATCAAGCTCAGCTCCATTTAATTCAAACATAACTAAAATCTGACATCAATAATAAGGAGCAGAACTGATAATTATATTGATTTTATTAAGGTTCGTTTGGACAACAATAGCAAAGACATTCGACCATCTATTCACAGCATGTAATGCATCACTTCAGTTCATGTGATTGTATTGTAGGCCTGCCATTATCCCCTCTAGCCATAATCATAGTGGTGTAGTGGTGGGCTGAATTTTAATAGGGCCTCAGATGCCAAAAAGAAAAATGACACACAAAAGAAAACTAACTGCCTGTTACTAACATTTACATGACACATGGTTTTTCCACCTTTAATTACATCTACTGTTTCTACATTATAGAAGGCTTAGTTCCCATAAAAAGATTTTTTCACAGCCAAATAAGTCATTTGGGCTCTTATCAATTTTCAAGATGTTAGGTAAACATTTTATTTTATAAGGAGGATGGGTAATTGAGGTTATTTGAGTTACAGGTATATATATATATATGTTAGTGGGAAAAGACCATGGAGTATTAAAATCGATACATCAAGCAGAATCAGCTATTTGCTACACACAATAGCAGGAGTGTTTTCTGATGAATATATCAGGCCCTCAACCTAAGACATGGATAGTCAATTTCAACATTTGTTATCCATTCACAAGGGCATTTACTATTAACATCAAGGGCAGTAATTTTATAAGTCAGTATCATATTTAACTGTTTACTAGGACACATGCTACTTGGTTCTTAAGTAGAACAATAAAGAATGCAGATAACAAAAAAAAGGTTAAGGAATTTTGGCTTACATTTCTTAGCTAGTTAAAACTCGTGCATCTCTCAACAGTACTTTCCTAGATGCTATTATCAAAACTATTCAGGTTAATTAGACATCAGTTCAGATAAAATATCAGTATAACCATAATAAATGTCTTTAAGTTATATGTTTTTCATCAACATCTCTGTGCCAAAAATGAAACAATTACAGAGACACATCAATTAATATCTCTAATAATCTGCTTGTTAATTTAGTAAGTAAAATTGTGAGTACTAATTTATTTATCATATACAGTCAAATTGCAAATCATATGCATTGGATTTGTTCCCTATATGAACTTTTACCTCAAAATACTATACCCATTGTTAAGCCACTTTAGTGAATCACTCAAGTGTAAACAAACACTAAATAAACATTGAATAAGAAAACTTAATAACAAATGCACATTTCAACTTTTCTCTTTTAAATTAAATACTGGATTTTCATTTTACCTCTCCATGATATTGCTGTTTTCCTTCTGGGGTGTGTTCTGGCAGGAAATATAATCGGACACTAGACAGATCATGACAGGTATTTTTGTCGACCCAAAGTAACTGAACTTCTCCGATACAAATGGGGGCATCTTCAGAATGTTTCACATAGAAAAATTCGCCCAGTGATAAAATTTGACTTTTATTCCCCAGGGAATATTTGATGGCCTTGTAGAAGGTGTATGGCCCATGGTGGCCACACGGAGTGCCTAGAAACTGAAACGAGAGAGAAATATTTGAGGCGAAATGCAATCTTGCCACAGTGGTGCGGGGCGTGCTCACAGTTCATCAACTTCCCCAGTTCAGGTCACATCCAAGAGCGAAATAAATACCAGCTCAAAATAACTCTTGAAACAATTTTTATCGGAATTTTCTCTTAAAAACTACTTTAAATAAACTTAATAACTTTTTCGGACTACTCACCTCAATTTTTGAAGACTCCATCAACAGTAATCTTGATAAAAGCGAGGCGTCTTCAATAAATACACTGTACAATACATTTATATTTGGTCCCTAATTAATGACGTCACGGATTGAGGCCGACATAATTTCCATAATTTATTCAATATTTTTCAAAGTTTTGAAATAACTCTTTTAAACCATCATTAAGCAAAGATTATTTACAAAGAAATATTTTCATATTTTTTGAGAAAAACTATTCGGCAATCGCTCTTGATTATATAAAAACAAATTGATCTCGATGTTGTGTGACCTTGAGAAGATGGCGGCTGCAGACGAAGCTCGAGTACGTACGGATAATTTTCTTCTTTTTTAGAAAAACATGTGCTGACGGATTTTGAAGAACCGTTAATTTACACAAGTTTTGTGTTAGCTTAGAGTCTAAAGAAACTATTTAGCTGTTGAGAGAGTACATTCTCTGTAAACAGTGTTTGATCTTCGTCTTCCGGTATATTGTTTGTGTACATCACATTGTGCTGCTTTTGAAGTTTTCTACACATGACATCTAGAACATTTTTTAGGTTGTACATCTGCCGCTGACTGCTTTGTGTGGGGATTTTTGGTGATGTTTAATTATCTTTTTGAAATAATGTGAAACAAATTCATTTTGGACAAACTGGCCACTTTGCAGTATGTGTCAAACTTAAACTTCCAATTTTTACCCAGTATATACTCAGTAGTGTGGTGGGCGTTTTTTATTGGCCACAGGCAACAAATATTACATTATTTGTTTATGGTACTTGTACTGCTTTGTATTGTTGTGTTAGAGAGTAGTCTCTTCTTTTGTTCAATTTTGGTGAACAAATTCCACATAAATTTCATGTGGCATGGTTGGCACTTATGCAGTTATCCCCTAACTTTAAATGCAAATCTTTGGTTTTATATTTTGTTTTTCTAAAGAGAGTTATGTTGTGACTTTGATCAATATCCCTGGTAAAGGAATTAATTTTATCATTCACGTACTGATTTTGAGATGTTCAGCCTTGAAATTACCACAGCTGTCATTATATTTTAATGGACTTAATATGGGCAATTTGTAAAAACATTGGAAATCATAGGTTTATTGCAAACTTATTAGAATAGTAGAGACATGGCTCACATAACTGAATTTAGAGAACATTTGAAAATAAAATACTTATGCCAAAGAACTGTTTAGTGTATGTTTGTGAATTCCTAAAAATTTTATTCTACATTACATATATAAACATGTATGAACTCACATATATTTTGTTTACCATTTCAGATAATCACTTGGAGTCACTGACTGTGATCATGGATATATGATTCTCAGAAACATTAAATAGTATGTTTTCTCCTGGGCTAAACTGTTATCTGTGATAGTACCTGCCACAAATATGGAAGTGACAATCCAGAGCACTTTAGGGGATGGGGCCTCAGGACGTTTAACCGTAGCAACAGACCCAACTCAAACTGTTGACAGTCTGATAGCAGCATTTTGCATAGATAAAAACATCCAGCAAAAATCAGAATATGCACTGAAATCCAAAGATGATAATATATTGCATGTTTCAAGGACATTAGGAACATGTGGTATTAACAGTGGAGATGTTCTGTACCTGACTTCAGGTAAGTTTTATTAGAGTCTAGACATTTAAGTAAGCATATTTTAATACTGTTTTGCCACAACAACAACAATGGTCAATCACAGATTGTTCATTAATGTTTCATTTATTGTGAGTATTTTGTACATTAAGCATTACTGACTAAGCACTAAATTAGGGCTTGTGGCATCAATTACGAATGAGAAAATTACTACAGCTTCTTCAAGTATGTATTTTATGCAAGAAAATGAAATGCATGCTATCCTTCACTCACATAATGACAAATGAAAAAGAAAAGTGAGCCAAGAAGATACGTTTGTAGGGTATATATATCAGTTGGAACTCAACAGAATGATTGTGGGAAATGGCTTCAAATTTGACACTTTGTTGACTATATATTTGACACCAAATCTTATAATTGATACCAAGTGTTCATTTTTGTATGCTCTGAGATTAATGTATTCAGTGTACAAGACACAGATTTATCTTTGGCTATATTTTTTTTATTTTGTTTTAAAATTGTTAGCATTATTTTGTATTATGATGAGTTTTGTTTATGTTAGCTTTTGAAAAAAACAAAGAAAAAGGGACCATTCACAATGACAAACAAGCTAATGCCTACTAACTTCACAAGGACTCTTGCTGAAAGCAGTCAGATTTACAGAGTGACAGGCCTCCTCCTGGCGATGAGTAGATTGTAGAAAAGCTGTTAAATATATGTTGGAAACGAGAAGGCATGTTAATCAGCTCATCTGATTGATTCAGTGGGAATTGGCTAGGTTGACATTGTGAATGGGCCCTTTATCTCTCTCTCTCTTTTTCTCTGGCATGCACACACTCCCTCAGTGTTTGTATAAATTTTGATTACCTTTGTTCATTACTGTCAATTTTGTTTACCAACACATTTGTTTGCCCTTTAAGTGCCAAAATGTATTTTGTTTTACTTCAAATAAATTTACAAAAGAACAATATTTCATAAATGGCAATAAGATTTTATTATAATTATGGGATTTTTTGTTTTTATGCATGTATTTTTGTGATGTTCAGCCCAAAATTAGCCAAAACATTATGACATTTTTTTCTGCATAATCTTTGAACTTTGCTGCCTTGTTTTCTGTATGGTGTCTGTATATTTGCCAGTTTTGCTGTTTAGTTGTATTGTTTTTAATTAATTAAGGAGCTTTAGTTGATTAAAAGGCAGGCTAAGTTTGAAAATCTGTATGATCAGGTTATTATTATTATTAGAGTAGATTATTTTCTAATAATTTCACAGGGAAAATTTGTTTTAGCATGAAAATCCTGAAAAAGATACCATTAATGTCTATATATATGCCATTGAATTATTCTTTAATTTTATATATATATAGACACTATACTAAATGTGTCTTAATAAATTCTGATCACTGTCTGCTCATGATCATCACCACTCCACATGTGTTATTGATAATTCATCCTATAACTGCCAAACTATGCATTTGTTTTTCTTTAAATAAACTAGGTGGGTTTGTTTGGTGAAGAGGAAGGTTACTCAGCATTATCTATTTGACTTTGCCAAAGTTATAGATTTTTTGTTTTATGCATGTATTTTGGAGACATATGTCCCACAAGTGCCAAACCATTAATTTCTTTTAATTCAAATTTGCAGAGAAGTTTTGTTTGGTAAATAGGCAGGTTCTTCTCAAAAGTTGGTATGATTGGACTATTTTTGCAAAAGTTATTGTTTACTTCAATGTGCCTGTATAGGTTAAAATGGAGCAATGGGAATAATTTTTCCTGTTACTTGTCTGTATATTTTCCAGCTTTGCTTTCTAGTTAATTTTTTCCAGTAAGCAAGCAAATATCAGGATGTTTACTTTGACATAAATTTTTAAGTGATTAATCTGTCTCATCAACTGTAGATGTTATAAATTTTGCCTTAAGTTAATTGGAATTCTGACTAAAGAAAGTAGAATCATTTTAGAACATTTTATACACATGTAATGACTGAGGTCAAGATTTTGATTTGTTAGTGTCCCAATCAATGTAGAGGCAATCTGCACTCTTCAGTGCCTATAATCTCTGTATCTAAAGAAAAGAGTACATGTCAAACCAGTTATAAATCATTCCTTTGCATTCTATTGGGCACTCACAAATGATGACATTGATTGGATTTACATGTACAGCCATTCAATACCAACTTATTTCAACACTGAGAAAGATGAGTTCAGGGAAATGGCTATTACATGTACAGGGTTGCCCTTTCACAGTTAGTGATCAGGAACATGACTAAGTATCAGAAACTTATTGATTCTCCATTATGGGGCTTAAACTTTAATTATGGAAGCCTGTGCTGAAGTTTTACAATATTGGAAAGTCAGAAAGAGCTTACTGAACATTTTTCTGAAACCTATTTGATGGAAAGCAAATCACATCACAAGTACATGACAGTTTTGTTTGACTTTAGTAAATTTTTGTTTGATATGCAAGCAGTGTATTTCAACTAGTTTGGTGAAACATCATTGTATAGTATAAAGATATACAGATTTTCCAGTTATGTCTGAAACAGACGTTGGAGACTCCTCAGAATCTAAACGTCTAACATGTTTAACAGGTTTTGGTAAGTTAAACTTTAAGGGGGGGGGGGATATTACTTATTATGATTATAATACTCTATCTTCCATGTGTTTATATTAGCTTCTTTGTATACTATCATGCCATGTAAACAGTAATGTTTTATTATGCAATTTTATACTTTTCCAGCAGAAAGTCTTGCTTCACGTATAAGGTGCAACCAATGGTGGGTCTTGGCAGCTGTTTGCTTGATGATTGGTGGTACAGGAATTACCATCATCAGTATAGTCAAGGTCCAAGGGGATAGTCCAATCACAGAGGTAATTTTGATTTTTATACTGATTATTTAAAGAGGTTGGACACTTCATTCTAGCCTGTAAATGGTAACTACTGTTCTCATCTGAAAATTATGCAGAAGGTATGATTACAAATTGATAAGTATTGTAATGCCACGCAAAAGTACTGTGCCTCAAACTTTTCTTCAAAGGTATTAATTTAAAAGTAATGATGCATTTCATCAATCAATTTGGCCTGTCTGCTAGAGTCCACAGCGTTTCATTGCAAGTTCTCATTAAAATCTGTCATTCTTGATGTGCTGTTTATATGCTTCTTAACAATCTTTGAAGATTTTGTGTTAAAATCTCTAATGGGACAAATGATTTCAAGGTGGAGAATTTTATTTTCTTACATTTCTATAGTATGCAGTAGTATTAGATGCTGGTTCAACACATACAAGTGCCTTTGTGTATTCCTGGCCTGCCCTGAAAAATAATGGAACTGGGGAAGTTACACAGGTCTCCACATCAGGGAGAGGTGAGTTTTCTTGTGAGAAGGAAACGTTTCCAGAGGAGTGCTCTTTTTCTTTTTGACAGTAGTATGACAGCCTGCCCACTTGAAGTATGTTCCTACATCTGTTCCTACGAAGTAATGAAGAATCCAAGTTTGCCCAATTTTTTTTTGGTTTTATTTTAAATGCATCATCTTGCTCTCTGTGTAATTTAGGGTATCCAATACTAGAAACAAGATGGCTTGGTGATCAGTTCCCTAGATTTTGTGAACTGATTCCAGTGTTTTCCTTTTTTGTCAGTTTGTCTGTCTGTCTGTCTCTTTATCTGCCATTACATCCATCTGTTTATCTATGGATGTTTGAGCTGTGATTTAAGTACTACAATCACCAAATTAAGTGTTGCGAATTTTTATTTGGAGTGGTGCAATTGGACCATATGGAACTGAACATATAGCATTTGGAAGTATGATTTGTTGACTTTTGCTCCTGATTTTCATCAAAGTCTCTCCTTTAATATACAGGTTCTTTTTACTGGAGTAAGCTACTACCAGTATCAGTGGTTGTTAAATTAGAGTTTCAAAGTCAAAAAAAAATTTTTTTTCTTCCACCTCTATTATCTTAAAAGTAGTAAAATTTTAAGCATCTGCACCATGACCCAACAAAAAGGATGTTAGGAGCTGAATTTGAAAAGGAAAATTATATAAGTAGCCGTGTTTATTCCATTTTCACCCATTTTAAAGATGCAGGTGATATGAATAGTTAACTCGATCTTGCAGCTCTTGGTAATATATGAAATATTCAGAAAGTGTTGAATAGACATATGAGGCAGATATTATTCTTACTTTCAAATGGTATGCTTGCGGATCCATTTGTTGCTCTCTCACTACATATCATGGCTTGGAGTGCTCAATTAGGCAATCTCAGTACCTAAATCATGAATCAAGCTTCAAATGAAGTTTGTCATTCATTAGTCTACCTTGCCCTATTTATTTTATAGCAGGTGACAAAATGGAACTTGTACTCTTGATAGCAGATAATGCTGAATTGAGGTTTAATGGGAGATATTGTGGCTAACAGGGATCCATAACTATTTTCCATTATTTGGATGATATTTGCATACTTTACAGATGAAAATGTGATCTTTTATTTTATAGTATGTTGAGAAGTGTTGGTAATAAAAGAGATGACAGTTGCTGTTTAGATATTATTTTACGACTCCAGAAAAATATTCTATCAATTTGGTTATTTTTTTTCACGTCGTATTATGGCTTGAGATTGAAGAGATGAATGACATTAACACCAAAAGTTCATGATAAGAAGGATACGATATCCAGTTGAGCACAACAAATATGTTATTCATGTAAATATGGCCTTAAAATACATACAAAAATAAATTAACTATGCCTGGCACAAGTGCCATTAATCAATTTAATGCAAAAAAGAACAATTGCAGTAGGTTCTTATTTAAGTAGAGGGTCCTTATTCTCTTACATTGCTCTTTATTTGAAAATGTCATGAAGAGGTCAAGCAAATACCTTGTTATTTACCCATATTTAATGGTAAACTACCTACCTATTACCTTTGCCCTCCGTTACTAGGGAAATGGTCCTGGTAGTCTATTTTCATGGCAGGTGAAAATAAATTGTAATTTTCAACCTGTTTAAAATGATAAAGGTGAATATGTCAGTAAATTGGACTAGATGTTCACATTATATGTTTTTTAATTTACTTGCATGACTTTCTACTTTTTTATACATCCTCTGGTTGTTCTGAACTTTGATATGAATCTTTGCATCTAAAGAGTTGATTATCAAAATGTGGATTAATAAAGTGAAATATTTGTTTTTTTATTTAAAGTACAAATTACTTCGAATTTGTTGGAAACCAAAAAATATAAACACTGCTTAGTAAACAAACCTAAAAGAGAGTTATATATGTTTTTCATGTATTTTCGTTCTAGGAAAAGGAGACACAATCTTAAATTTAATTTAATACACAAACAAATAATTAGCAATCATCCTTAGTTGGTTTTTGTTTTCTTTAAAAAAGATATTCTAGCTATATTAGCATTGGATTTTGGACAAGCATTCGTGGTATTCCTTTGTTGGCCTTTTGTGATCATCAGAGCACAACACTCAAATGAGACAATATCCATAAAATATAGATCTCTGTTATGAAGCAGAACCCTGAGGGGAGGGAGAAAGAGTCATCAGTCAGACTCAGAAAGGTGACTATAGATCCAACAAAAGAAAGGAAATGCATGAGTGTATTATAAAGATGGAATATGGAGTTTCAGGAAGTAAAACCACAATTTGAAATGAATTAAGCATAGATACCTGTCTCAGTGTGTTACTCATACATTTTGTAAATTAAAAAAAAAAACTCATTTAACAATTTAAGTATGTATACCACTGCTTATGTTGAAAGAATGCAAAGTGTTTGCTATTGATGCACACTCATGACACTAACTATACAGTTTAACCTTAAGACCCACCAAAAGACAGGGTTGTTTATACAAATACCTTTTACCAACTATTGTAAATTATGCATATTGTTCTTATTTACCTTGGCTTCCTTGGGTTTTTCTTTCTCTCTCTCTCTTTTTTTTTTTATTGTTGACCTGTAATAACAGGTGGAATCCAGTGACAGTGAAAGTTTAGATATTTTTATGATAGGAAATAGAATGCATGGATGTAGAAGTGAATTATATCATTAAGCCATTTATTCAGTAAGTTTTATGAAACCAAAACTACCCTTCTTAATCTGCATATTATTAATTGTGGCAACAGATGGCAAGTCCTGTTGATCTGAAATTGAAAACGGCACAACTTTTGATTTCAAATTAAATTTGTTTTGTCAAAAAAAAAAAAAAAAAAAAAAACTATATAATATATGGCACAGCCTGATCCATTGCCAGTTAAGATTTTGTTACTAGACATGTGTGCATTACTGAGTGATTGTTTATTTTGCATGATATTGATTGCCATTGTTAAAAATGTAAAAAGCATATAAGATACAGTGAACATATGTTTGCTGCACGGAATCCATGTAGCCAGCATTTGAATAGGTTCATTATATTTTGTCAAAAACTGACAGAGGTAACTGGCATCAACTTCTGATTTTATTGGATAATAGGTTATTTCTAGAAATTTTAAAATTGTTATTGTATCGATGAGTAATTGTGAAATGACAATGGTAACATCCCATGCTGAGTATAGTAAATCTGCTTAGTGAAGCAATCTTTTCAAATAAATTAGACTGACAAGTGTGTCCTTACATGATCCTGGCAGTTAAAGGTCAATGCTTAGCTGAATAAATGTAAAGGTAGAGGATTTTATACTTATTCAGTTATTGGTCACAGGAATTGGAGAGTATTTACTGCATATGTTCTTTCTCCTGATCGATACCATTGCATTATCAGCTTAACTAACTTACACATTATGAGCAGTCTCTTTGTTCAAGATTAGAAATGAACAAATTTGATTTGAATAATATGCACTTTCCAAAATTTACTTACTGGCTTTGGATATTTTTGTGACTGTAATGGGTTGGATTGTTCTTTGGAAGTATAGATTTCTTCTGGTATATTTGGCATATTGGGGAGAGGATTGAGTTTGTATAACAACATTCACTGTTGGAAGGAAGTTTGGTTTTAGAAGTAGTCTGAGACAATCAGCAGTATTTAAAATGCTGTAAATCAATATAATGTTTTATACCATTGGTTTAACAGCATACATACAGTGTACATTGTCATTTGACACAATTTACCCATTATATCATAACATCTTTGTCAGTATGTTGATAAAGATGGCATGTTTGGTTTTATTTCATTATAGCCTTTAGAGAAATTATCATCTTTGATAGTATCATATACTGAATGTTTTTTTAGTGCAAGAAACCTGATGTAGAACAATATTATCATCTTGTTTTTTTGTTTCATCAGATAGGATGATTAACAAGGATATTGATTAAAGTAATTTAATTGGTCTGACTGAGGAATTTTGCAGGGAGATCCTTTTCTTAGTTAGTTATTATATTAATAATGCTAAAAGTCATTTACATGTTTCTCCAACAAATTTGCTTTAAGTTATATGATATCAGATTACATTGGATACACTTGCTGTGTGAATTCTGGGAGATGTATGGCTCAGACTTCTTGCAGTTCATAATGCATGATATGCTGCTGCATTCAAATACTGAAATATAGGTAATGAGACCTTGACAAGTTCTATAATTAATGACATACTCATTGACATGGTCAGGTTCTGTATTTATCATTTCTTATCTACAGATATTTGTCTTGGGGTATGTCATGTGCAGGGTGTTATTTTGTAATTTATTTGTATGATGAACTAGGAATTCAAATGAAATGTTAAATACTTCCATGCAGTAAAATTGCACATCCATTTATGAGATGGAGTTAGATGTTACATTATTTAAGAAAAGAAGTTTTATATTTTATATGCTATTTCCATCCAAGATAACATAAAACTTGGCACTGCATGATGTCATTCAAAACCAGAAAACTTGTGAGAATCCACATAAGATGGGTTTAACTATTAAGCAATAGCATTATAAACACCATGGCTGTATTCCCAGAGCTTTTAGATCGATCTATCCCCGCGTGGAGTCTCACTAGATTACTGTCAGATAATCCGGCTTAAATGTCCGTCCCGCCTACTACAAGCTGTAAGGGGGTAATTAACTATCGTGTCCCCCGGCTGACAGCTATTTAGCGTGAACCCCCAGGGAGTTAGGTCGATCTAAAGTAGATCTATCTAATCTCTGGAAATGGGGTCTATGTGCTGGACATGTCGTTGTAGAATGAAATACAAAACTTTTGCAAAAACATGAATGCATACTGTTGTGCAATAGTCTGTAATTCGAAAAAACGACTGAAAAAATAACTGTCAATAAATTCTGCCAGCTTTTATATGTTTCTACAGCATGATTGCTAGTTAACCATTTTTTCTGACCACACTGGAAAAATTTCACTTGATTTTATGTGAAGTCGCAAGACTTCAGG